ACCCCCAAGCTCAGCACCCCTAGGCTCCGCACCCCTGGACTCAGCACCTCCAGGCTCCGCACTCCCAGGCTCAGCACCTCCAGACCCGGCACCCGCAGGCTCAGCACCTCTAGCAGCACCAGAGTCAACAGCTACCTCGACAGGCTCGACTGCGTCTACCTGGGACACACGTGACGGGGCAGGACCCTGAGGGGGGAGGGGGTCTACCGGGGGAGGACCTGGCGCAAGGAAGAGCGGCGGCGGGGGGAGGGGCGCAGTGCGGTAGGGGAAGAGACGGTAGTAAGGCACCGACTCGTCAAAGGTGACGTCCTGGGAGGACAGAATACGGCGTGAGGTGGGGTGGTAAAACTGCCATCCAGGCGCGTCAGGGGGGAAGCCAAGGAAGACGCAGGGAACAGCACGGGGGGACAGCTTGTCCGCAGACAAGTCGCGGACAAACGCCCGAGATCCCCAGACCCGAAACGCAGACGCATCGCCAACCTTCCCCGTCCACCACAAGGTGGGGGAGGTCTCTGGCAAAGAAGACCCGGGGCTGAAGGTTGAGCTGATGCGCTGCGCACTGAACCGCAAACGGCCACAGAAAATGGGGGGCAGCCGCATGCATCATGGACGTACGAGCGACATCCATGACCATGCCAATGCGGCGCTCAGCAATCCCATTTTGCTGTGGAGAGGCCGGAAGCGTGAAGGTCTGGCGGATGCCCTGTGCACGACAGAAGGCTCCCAGACGGGCAGAGGAAAACTCCCCGCCTCTGTCAGAGTGCAGACGCAGAACAGGAAAGTCCGAGCCGAAACTCTCTCTGAGCTGGAGACGAGCTGCGCGGATCCAGTCGATCAACACCTTAGCGACGTCGCCCTTGCTACGCAAGGGGAACACCGTGGTGTAACGCGAGTAGTCGTCACCCACCAACAGGAAGTAACGCTCGTGACCCTGGCCACGGACGCGGGCGGGGCCCCACACGTCCATGTGAAGAGTCTGCAGCGGAGCCTCTGTCGAAGGAAACTCGGAGGAGTGAGGGGCGGCGCGCTGCCGCCCCTCGACGCAGGGAACGCAGGTAGGGGCAGGCCCCGGAGGGAGGGGAGGGAGGGACCGGGGGAGACCAGAGACAAGGACACGAGAGGCCATGCCTCGGAGACGAGGCAGGGAGGGGTGGCCAAGGCGGTGGTGCCAAAGGAGAGTCTGGTGGGACAGGAGACGACACGAGCAGGGAGCAGACTCAGGACCAGACCTGGACGCTGCATCAAACACCTGACTCGACGCAGCTACCTGACCTGACTCAGCAACCGGAGGAGACTCAATAGTCAGTGTGTACAGGCTCGACCCCGGCCGACGGGTAAACGTGGCCAAGTGTCGGCCCGTCCGAGCACACGTACAGTGGCTCACCCGCTGACTCGCAGGAGTGAACTGGTCAACCCCCCCATCCTGTAGATCAGCTCCACTCACTAAGTTCGTAGAGAACGAGGGGAGGTAGAGACCTGACAGGGTGCCAGAGGGGGCTGCCGGACACGGTAAGACAGTGGAGAAGCGAGCAAGGACAGGACCCCCAGAGGGGTCCGCCAGGGAGACCGCAACCGGCCGACTAAGCGGCGTAAGGGTGGTGCGGTCTCGAAAAGAAGGAGCGGGAAGCACCCGAGTGAAGGGTGAAGGTGTGGAAGGCCTGAGCCAACGTGGTATCTGAGAGAGCAGACTCACCAGCACCTGGGGCAGCAGACGCACTAGCATCTAGAGCAGCAGCCTCACCAGCACCTAGAGCAGCAGCCTGAATGCCCGGGTCAGGCGGAACACACAGGTAACAGTCACCCTCATCACTAGTAGACACAGCATACATGGCAGCAAGAATAGCATCATAATCAAGATCAAAGATAGCAACCCCCGCCCTAGACAGCTCTCCCCAGCGAGGGATCTCAGTGGCGTCAGGGAACTGGTGACGCCACGCGTCCGTCAAGCGGCCGAAGCAGCGCTGGGTGGAGTGCGGGCCCCCGCACTGCTCACAAGCGCGGTCGCCGGTACGGAGGACGTAGGTGCAGGGACCAGTACCCCCACCTCGCTGACGCCCAGCGTACCACTCACAAAGCTGCTGGGGGGACGGGGTCTCACGAGTGTGCTGCTGCTGCTGGCGCGGACCACCACCGGAGCCACTCCTCTGCGCAGAGCCGCGACCAGCTCCACCGCTGCCTCCGCCGCCTCCGCCACCTCCGCCGCCTCCGCCACCTCCGCCGCCTCCGCTCCCTCCGCCACCGCCGCCGCCTCCTCCGCCTCCACTACTGCCACCGACACCTCCACCCCCGCCACCACTCCCACCACCACCCCCACCCCCTCCACTGCCTCCACCGCCACCCCCGCCAGCCCCTCCAGCGCCCTTGCCCCCCTTGCCCTTGCCGGTGCGGCGTCTCCCGCTAGGGGCAGACGCAGCGCCTACCGACTCGAAACCAACGAGGTCGGCCGCAGCAGCAGAAGCAACAGAGGGCAAGAGCGGCGGCGACGGGGCCGTGAAGGGGCCGCGAGGGGCCTAGAGGGGCGGGGACGGGGTCGCTAAGGACGGCGACGGGGCCGCTAAGGGTGGCGCGAGGGGCCTCTAGGAGGGCGCGACGGGGCACGCCTCGGGCAGGAAAAAAAAGATCGAGTTAGGTGGTGGGCCCTGAGAATCGTTCCCACAAGGGAACTTGCTCTATACCATGTGAAGAATGAGGAAAATGAATGAACTAGCAAGCAGGTGGGTACAAGTAGGAAAACCTAGAAATGTTGTACCCCATTTTATCTACCCCACTATAGCCTACACAAACTATAGCATATAAGTTTGACATCATTACATTAAAGTTAACCATTTTTCTAGCTCGGTCGGACATCCGGGCTTGCTTGGTTCTGTCACCTAAGCCATTTATGTTCAGTGTCGCAGAAATGTGGGTGTCTTTACTACTCATTTAACAACAAATTGGTGACCCCTACGCATCCACAGGGTAAGTGAGGGAACTATACCAACTACTGAGGGAGCTACAGCTGCTGCCGCTGAGATCTGGTTGTGCCGATGAAGTGCTAGAGCCATACTCTTTCTATGACCGCTTTGAGGCTCGCCTTCTTGAGGGTAAGCTTGATGGCAGTGCCGAGCTTCTCGAGATGAATCACATGATTCGTTGACCCAAAGTTATGGACAGCTTTCATGAAGGATGATACGTGCGCCTCCTTGCAGCCATTCCTCTTTGGTTGCCTGTGGAGATGAGCACGATTGCAGGATCTTGCAGGGTCGGCAGCGTCAACTGATTGACTTGTAGGAAAGCAGCTGCAATTAGCAACTTGCAAGTTAGCAGTGAGATAGACACGCGTCAGCAATAAGGTAAGAAATGGCGATGTGACGCGGATACCATTTATCTTGTGTACCCTTCCCAAGGACGAATTCCATTTCCCGTTACTGTTGTGCCGCTCCGTGACATATGCATCATGGTTCTTGTCTAGCGGAAAGTGTACCGATTTGCGCGGAGTGAAGAGCTGATTTCAAACCTTTCAATTTCAGAGCGTATGAGTTAAGCTTGATTGCTGGATTGTGTGGATCCGGTTTGCCTATTTAGATTTTTGATATATTAACTAACTGTTCGTCATGTATGTGTTAAACCAGAATTGTACCGCCCCTAGGCCTTAAAATTGGATTGTTGAGTTATAGCCGCACTCCTGGCGGGAAACCAATTATTTGAAGACACACCCATCCATCCCATCCCATCCCGCCCCGTCACCACCGGCATCGCCTCGCCTCGCCTGTCGATCGTTCATGGTGGTATCACGGAGCTTCGAAGCAGTTCACCACGGCTCACCAACCAAACCAGTCCCGGACAGCACACCAAATCTGCAGTTTCAGTTACCGCAGATCACGCTGGCAACTCTGGCGACTGTCGGCGATGTGTCGGAATGACACGACGGCTGCAAGAGTTGACGTTTTGTCATCCCTGACAGATTGGTTTTTGACGGGAAGTGGCGAAGCTGACTGTTCCAACGACTGCAAACGAGACGCACACTACACCGAACCGTCAATTAGAACGACAACACAGACGACGACGGCAACTCTGCCGGGCAAGATGCTACTCTCGTTTCCCTCCAAGTGACAAGACAACCGCATAGATCCTACCAATTTAGGAAAAGTGAGTCGGTCTCTCAAATCCAACCAAACCACATCATCTTTCCCGCCAGACCTCGCATCACACTTCATCCTGCTCAACCGTATGAGGACGTACTCCACCGCGTGGTTTTCATACATTCTACACAGACTTCTCAAGTGTCTTCCACTCTCCAACCAACTCGGCTCGGGCGCATCCAGCTCATGGAGAAGTCAACCTGCTTTTCCAGCCTTTTCCACTCCCAAATCCCAAAGACGTTCTACGTGATTGACCAGTCACGTCACATCAATTCCAGTTCTCACTGGACTGGGATGCTAGCTGGTTCTTTCACCCCTGTCCAGAACCGTCTGAGGACTCCGCAAATTCCGGAGAAATGACTCCCGAATGCTGGTGGACATCATTTCTATCCTAGCCGCGACAGTCCGTCAGTCTCGCACATCCCCCGTTTCGCTGACGCTGACAGTCACCCCTTAGAGGACTTGGCATTGAGTTATTCAACCTTTTAGATGGCTAGGATGACTTTACCTACGTGGTACAAGGATCAGAATGGAGACTCGGAGCTCCGGCGTTCTTCTTCGCAGAAGGAGCGTAGCTCGTTCGCGAAGTTTTCGCCAGCTAGGATGATGGCAGAAGTTAGATTTCCAGAGGTTAAAGTCCCAAACGTTCGCATTCCTGACGTTAGACTCTTACAGGTCAAGCGTTCGGAAGCTAAGATGACTGAACAGAAGAATTCTGATGTCGCTGATAGTTCTCAAATGTCAACCCTAGACTTCGTTTCCAAAGCCACGTCAGGTGAGGAAGAAGGCCTTCCGTTAGTTAGCTTAGCTCCGCCGCTCACGAGTTTCTTAGTTTGTTTCAGGACGTTCACTGACAGATGCAAATCTCTGTGGATGCAGCTTTTCAAGTAGCGACCACCAAGGCTAAGCGCGCATTCACGGATTTAAGACGCGACGCACCTCCGTCAGAAGCGCCGATTCCGTCTAGCCTTCCGACATCCCCACCAACACCCCCGCAGCCTTCTCATGGTGCTTACCTACCTTAGTTTCTGTCCTCCTAACTCAGAAGAATGATACAGTAGGTTCATTCTAATTTATAGTGCTTCATGAAAACATTCGCTAAGAGCTCGGCCGTTGGAATGTGCAGGGTGGGGTTATCCGTGGTTGCTCAAGGCAAGCCCCAAGACCAGCCACTCGGAAGAACTCAGCAGAAGAGTCGCTGAGCTGTCAAAGGTATATGACCGGATAGGCCGTTCTGTCCTTTTTGTTCTGTTTGTGTGTGGGTTTTTTTTTCTTTTTCCTAAATCATTTTCATTACGTAGGCGTTTGACCTAATTGTAAGGATGCGTTCTGATGTCACCAGGAACCGCAAAAGTTTCTCATGGTGGGGGTTTCAGACGACCGCGCGGAGCACTACGTGAATCTTGAGAGCGCGCTGCTTTCTGCTCCAGCTATTCTCGAGGTAATACCGTAAAAAAACCCGTTACGAATGACCATCAGAAAGTTCATTGATCTCCGACACCCTTTTGTTTCTGAACCTTACTGTCCGTATCTCGTGGTTCGTTCGATCGTGCTCTGTGATCCTTTCTTCTCTCAGTTTTCAAATCTCGAGACGACTAAAACTCCCCGATCCCGTTTTGTCCCTACGTTCATTCAGGCGGACGATCACCTGAGCAGAATCTTTTCGGAATTCGTGCCTCGGCTGGTCTCGGAACGGGAGTTTTGGAAGCGGTATTTCTACGTGGTGGCGAAGGTGGAGCTCGAATTAGAGCACGAGGAGGACTGGGGTGCTGCGGACCCTTCTCCCCTCGGCTCCCCTGCCAGTGTGGGATCGCACGGACGGCTTTTCTCGCTTCCCATGTGGCATCCTAAGGAACGGGTAAGAATCTCCTGAAATTGATGTTTGAGGCACCTGAAACGATGAAGCCCTACCGTTAAAAGGACAACTAGCGACAGCGTTAATTTCACGGGGACGCGAAGTTTAGTTTGTATCTGTACTGTATTAACGGTGTACTGTACTGTGATGTACTGTACTGCATTCACAGGACATGAATGGTAGCACTTGCAGCACAACGACGAGCGTGTGCAGCTTTGGAGGAAACGTGGACCCGCCCAATATCCCATCCTCTGTGCTCCTGCGCAATCTCGCCCAGGCTGTCAGGTCCGTTGGTCCTCACAAAACCACTGCATTCCACCATCTACCACTATCAACCACCATCAACCGAATTACTTAGCCTCGGATTTGGCAACGTATCTGGAATCCAGTTGGAAATCCACTCCACATCCGCACACTCGTTTCGAGGGCCCCCTTACAACAAGTGACCAACCCGTATGCTTCCATGACGTTAACGTTAACGTTATCTTCTGTGCGTGCAGCTACTCTGCTCCGTTTGCGACGCTCAAGGACCTGGTAGCCCACAATGGCAAGTGGCCGGGCACTGCCCTCGCACAGGCTGTGGGAGCTGGGATTGGCCGAGCCTTCTCCCTCTCCTCTATATCGAATGTAAACGACATTGACACCACGGATGACATGATTCAAAGGCTTTTAAGCTCAGGTTAGTACCAAAGTTTGTTATTGCTTCATTAGGTTAGTACCAAGGTTTTTATCTTCAGTCGCTTTCGAGAGCTCCCAAAATTCCTGGTTTTTTTTTTAACATTTTGTCCATTAGGGAACCTTTATTGGCTGCCCGCCTTGGGCATTGATACAAGCACATCCCACTCACGGCTTTCAATCGAATCGGACCAGAGTCGTGAATGAAGCTAGGCCCCCCTCCCAAACACCCCCCTGTCTTCCCCTAACGCAGTCAGGCACATAGCACTTATACAAACACGACTCTGCCTGATGTTCATTTCTGTGTGTGCTCTTTTTATAGCAACAGGAGAAGAGGCCGCATTTGATTGCAGCTGCGACACCTTCAGCGGCAGCAGCAGCGGCGGTAGTGGCACGAGCAACGGCAAGCCCCCCCAGGAAAAGCCGAGCGATGCCGCCCCGCTGGCAGCGACCGCCCTGGTGCACTCAGTGCATGGAGCATATCCGGACAGCTTTGTGGCGCAGGTGGCGGCGCTCATGGCAGAACTACCTTCGGAGAAGGACATGGCGCAGCTGTGGCTGGCGCTGGTAGAACAGGTGAGCTGTTGGAACCACTCTGGCCTTAGGCAGACCCGAGGGGCCGCTCTGGTGCACTCAGTGCATGGGTCGTATCTGGACAGCTTTGTGGCGCAGGTGGCGGCGTTCATGGCGGAGCTGCTCTCGGAGAAGGGCATGGCGCAGCTGTGGCTGGCGCTGGTAGAACAGGTGAGCTGCTGGGTCCACCCTGTGGACGCTCTTGGAGCAGGTGGGTGGGCTGCGGGGGATCCTGTATCTGCTGCGCTCATGGCGGAGCTGCCCTCGGAGAAGGACATGGCACAGCTGTGGCTGGCGCTCGTAGAACAGGTGAGCTGCCCTGTCCACTCAACGAGCTCGCTGGTAGAGCGGGTGAGCTGCTGGAACCACTCTGGCCTTAGGTCGGAGCAGCTGTGGCTGGCGCAGCTGTGGCTGGCGTCGGTGGAACAGGTGAGTGACCTGTCTGTCTTATCTTGCAGTTACGGGCGCGGTGGAAGCAAGGAGTATAGCGCAGCAGACACAAAGCCATCGGATCCAGGTGGACCTGAGAGAGAGGCTGCTGCGTTATCGGAACAATCAAGGTCATCCTGTTCTGATGTTCTTTTCCCGTTTTCCCTCTGTCCTCTCTCCCCTCGCGTTCCCTTGCAGCTGCGGGCGCGGTGGAAGCAGGGGGTGCCGGTGCCGCATGGGGGGCGGGCAGGGGCGGGCCGGACCTGCGGCTGTGCGAGGTGATGCAGCACCTGCAGCTGCTCAACTGAGACAAGTTTTTTGTCGACTCACAACTGTTGCCCTTCCTTTTTTCCCTCTTTCACGGTGTTCCATTCTGTTGCCCCTCACTGCAGCTGCGGGTGCGGTGGAAGCAGGGGGTGCCGGTGCCGCATGTAGCAGCAGGCAGGCACGGCCCGGACCTGCGGCTGTGCGAGGTGATGCAGCACCTGCAGCTGCTCAACTGCTGCATCGCCCGCCAGCGCCGACGCAAGACTATCGGGTTCGCGTGTAAGCTTCCAGGCTCAGCAGCAGCAGGAACAGGTGCTGGTGGTGGTGTTGTGGGAAGGGGTGGCAGCAGGAAGATCAGGGAATCGTTGTCAGAAGGTGCTGCGGGTTTTGCTGTTACTGCAGGTGCTGCTGGTGTGGGTAGGCCTAGTAGCAGCAATGTCAGGGCAGTTTTGTCAGAAGGGGCTGATTGTGGGAGCGACATGGCAGCAGCAAGCACTGACGGCTCAGAGCCCTGTGATGCTTCAAAAGGTGCTGTTGCTGCGGGGAGAAGCGCGAGAGACGTTTGCCTAGGAGGAGCAGAGGAGCAGAGCAGAGCAGAGGAGACGCTGGAAGCACAATGGGCAGATACTGAAACTCTGAATCGCAGTAGTGAAGCCACATGCACCGTGCCTGAAGCAGGGGGGAATGCTGGCATGGAATCCTGTGACTGCATTATGAATTCATCTGAGGAGCCTCCCTTTTACACAGCAGCAAGGGGAGGAGCAGGAGGAGCTGGAGATGATTCATGCGGTGCGGATGATGATCTGGCAGCGGGGCCGTGCTGGAATCGGGACTGTCCAGGTCAGCACCTGTTTCTATGTGACACGTGCTCTCTGCCATGTGGGAATCACCCACCAGTGGAGCATACGGGTCAGGTATCGCCAGGGGCGGCGCCGGGGGCAGCAGCAGCAGAGTATCACCTTGACGCATGCTATGCGCGGGTGCAGTCAGGGAGGCGTGTGCTGCGGAGGGGCGTCAAGGAGCAGTCAAAGAGCCTGCGGTTGCTGGAGACCGGCGAGCCGCTGTGCATCCCTGTGACCCAGGACGGGCCTCTGATGACCGAGTCAAGTGTGCGGGAGAGCGAGGAACTTATCATGCGCACTAAGAGGTGAGTGGGAGAAGCTAGTAACGTGTTTGAATGTGACTCAGGATGGGCTGCTGATGACAGAGTCGAGTGTGTGGGAGAGCGGGGAAGGAAGGGAGAGCAAGGAGCTTATCATGTGTACCAAGAGATGAGTGGGAGGAGGTCAGCATATGAGTGATGTGCGTTGGTTCGAATCCTTCAACTTTTCTGCTAGGGTAGATCCCATCCCAGCATTGCGCCCCATGCTGACCTTCCTTTTTGTGCATTATCCCGGCCTTGTATCAACTACCCGGCCCACCGAACTGCTGCTAAAACTAATTTCCTCGTTGTGTGCGTGCAGCTTTGGGACTGGTCACAAGCAGCTCTTCTCGGACATGCAATCTTTCAAGGTGAGCCGCAGTGCAGTGGGGCACGGCAAGCATGTATTCAGAGTGAAACGTAAACCAGTGAGGTCCAATGCGTGGTGGACTCATGCTGAAACAAGTGACTTTCCTGCCGTATTGTATTCCTGGCTTATGCCCAGCCACCTCTCATGCCGTGCCTCATCTTCCTCTCCCTTTCTCCCTTTCATCCAACCCTTCTCCCTGTCACCTCTCTCCTTCTCTCCCTCCCTCTCGTTCATCCACCCCGTTTCCCCCCCACAGGCGGCCAACCCCGGGTGTGTCTTGGAGGACTTTGTTCGCTGGTACTCCCCACCCGACTGGTCGCCACTCCCTCAGTCGCCTTCCGTTCACTCACCCTCTCCCCATACACCGTCTGCCAAACCTCCCACTGTACAAACACCCACTCTCGACTCGGCCTCGCTCCCCTCACCCACCTCCCACACATGTGAACTTGCTTCCGAGGCAAAGACTCCCTGTGCTGCCACATGTGCTGCTTCCTGTGCCGCGTCTCACGGCCGAGAGAAAGTGGGCCAGGCTGCAGGGAGCGCTGCAGGGGGAAGAATTGACTCTACACCCAAAAAGACGGGTTACCTCAGCGTGCGGATGAAGGCTTCAGGTCAGTGAATCAGCTCTGTCCATCATCGCTTCACTCTTCCCTATTAGAGAGTAACAGCTTTGCTCGTTGTGTCTAGCCTTTGTGTCAAAAGATTATGGTCTCACAAGAGCCTTCCCCTGATGTGTCTCACAGATAACCTGTGGCAGCAGCTGTGGAACCGCGCTCGACCGCTGCCCATCGCTCTCCAACCCCCCTTGGTGGACTACGACTATGCTGCGTAAGCTTCCCTCCCTGCTCCCTCCCCGTACACACTGGTTTGGTCGTGCTCTTGTCACTCCTGCCCCTGCTGGTACCGCCACTGCTATTTCAGCTGCTTATCGCTTCCTTTCTCTCCCCTCCTTCCTTTCTTCCTCTCCCCTCCTCCCCTGCCTCAGCTGTTCAAGTGTGTTTCCCTTCTTCTCCCCTCCTCCCCTCCTCCATTCCGCCAGGGAGAAGAGCCTTACCTGGCTGGAGAGCATTCCCCCATCCCACCTCTTTGCAGAGCTCTTCACCGCACTCGTTGTCGCTGGATTCTCTGCCGCTGCCTCAGCATACCACACTCCCCCCACCACCTCCTCCTCGTCTTCTCTCCCCGCAAGACGACAGGATGGCTGGGTGCGTGTTAATGGTTCAGACGTAGCAGCAGCAGCAGCTTGGAAGCAAGATGGGGAGGAGGAGGAGGAAGGGGAAGGGGAGGGGGAAGGGGAGGGGGAGGAGGAGGGGGAGGAGGAGGGGGAGGGAGAGGCCTGTGTACAGGCAACAGCAAATGGGCACATCAGAGCCCGCGTGGCGGAGTGCTGCCGCTACGTGGCTGGCGCATGCACGAGGGGAATGAGCGATGACAAGATAACCAACGTGTGCCTTGTGAGTAGCCGTAGCGGGACCAGGCGAGGCAATTGCAGGCGCTCTTCCCTGTCTAACGTTTGATGCATTTGGCGTGGCCCCCCACCTGTGTGTTCACTCCCTTTGTCCCCCTCACTCTCACCTTACCCACCCCTCCTTCCCTCCCTCCCACCCTTTCTTGTCGCAGGTAAAAAAGATGATGCAGGGATATAGTGATGACACCACATGCCACGGCCCAGCTCTCCACCTCTGCACGCTCTCCTCTTACCCTTTCCTCTCCCTTTTTCCACCCCTTATCCCACTGCACCCCGCTTTTGTAGGTATACGAGATGATGGAGGATATAGTGGTGGGCCCGCAAGCCAAGGCGCAGCTTCCCAGGGCCAACACGTCAGCCTCTCAAGACGCCCAACCTGTGTCCACACTCAAGCCCTCGCTCCTGCAGCAGTGGCAGCAGTGGCACTCCAAACCCTCCGCCAAACCCCACGACAACCACCAATACCCGCCCGGCGACGCTCACCCGATCGAGCCTCTCCCAGAAAACGCCCTTTTGAGCAACCCTCAACCAAACGACCGTCATGACAACGACACTCACCAAAACGACAAGGAGGATGACAATCACGCGTGCTCCGACTCAGAGCCATACGACACACGAAGCCTCTCCGATGCTTCGTGCGGCACAGGCGGGTTTTCTCCTGAGCCCAGCACGTCTCCTCGCATCCACCCCCCCGCCAACACACCTGCTCGCCGGTTCTCCATCCTGGGAGCTGGATCGAGCTTTCCTTCCTTCCCCACTGCGAGTTTTCCCACAAGCCCCATGTTTGGGTCTATCGACCTCTCCTCCCTGCATCAGTACAACCAGCAGCAGCAGCCACCCCAGCAGCAGCAGCAGCAGCAGCAGCAGCAGCAGCAGCAGACAATCCAGCAGCAGCAACAGGTGGTTGAAGAGGGTTCAGCTGGTCAAAAGGATGCTGTAGAGCCTGTGACTGCGCAGCTTTCTGCATCGTCGAGTTTTGTTAACCGCGTGGCAATGTGGGCTGGGCTTGGCGCTGCAGGGAGTGGGAGAGGCCTAGGGGGAGAGCAGGCGAGTGCACAGGAGCAGCAGCAGGTGCAGGAGCAGCAGGTGCAGGAGCAGCAGTTGCAGAAGCAGCAAGAAGAGGAGTCTCTGGTAATCACTGTCTCTGCAAACGGTGGTCTTGAAGCTGCTGCTGCTGCTGCTGCGGCCGCTGCCGCCGATGCTGACGCTTCTGCCACCGCTGCCACCACTGCCATCACTGCCACCGCTGCCACTGCTGTTGATGGTGCTGCTGCTGATGCACCTTCCCTGCCGGTTCTTGAAGAGAGCGAGGGGGGAGAGAACGCGGGAAAAGATGCAAAGGAGGAGTTCACTGATAACGATGATGGTGAGGATGTGAAGCCCAACAGACCCTTGACTGCACCTGCTGCTGTGAGCTTCAGAGGGTTCCGGAAGGTGGACATGACAAGTATCAGCAGCAGCATCAGCAGTATGAGTATCAGTAGTATGAGCAGCAGGAGTAACATCAGCAACACCAGCAGTGTCGGCAGTAGCAGCAAAAGGGAGGAGCAGGAGCAAGGGGAGAGGAAGAAGGCTGGGATTCTTGGTCTGCGGTATGGCTGGGTGGTTGTGTAATCTTGCCAAGTGAAGCTGCCACGTTCGTTAATTTTGCGAGGCAATTTTCATTTGTCTCGAAAATGGTCTGCGGTTTGGCTGGATTGGGTGATCTTGCCAAGGGAAGCTGCTCTAAGTTCCATTGTGCTCTCTGTTCACAAGAATTGCTCTCCAAGAATGGTGTTGCAAGCAGTTTTGAAACAGTTGCATATACAACTGAATCTTTCGCCAGTGTCACCTAGCGAAGCGTCACTTAGGTTGGTCACCTGAATAAGTGTAATTATCAATAGTTTCTCTAAACCCCTAAACCCTGAACCCCAAAGCCTAAACCTTCAACTCAAAACCCATAGTAGTTAAGCGACAACACAGCAGTTTTGTATCAAATCTGATAGTTATACACTTTCTGCAGCCAAAAGAAAGGCAATCACAATCAAGGTTAAGTTCATTTATCCCATCTCATCCTCTCCATACCCTCACATCTTACTTATCAAATTGAGTGTACTTAGCACGTCACTCATCTCTGGTCGGGGCTCAGTGTTCACATTTATGCACGCACGGGCAAGCGCGAAAAACTTTCTCCCACCCTTGTCTGAATACCCATCCTTTATTCTCGCGTCAACTATCGATGGGGTGTAGACCTTCGATTCCTCCCACACCCACTGCGCCAAGCTGCCACTGTCGCTGTCAGTGGCATGCCTGCCAGTCAGCAGCTCTAAAAGCACCACCCCAAACGCATACACGTCAGACTTCACCGTCAAGCGACCTGAGGGGAGGAAGGGGGGTTGACAGGGAGGCATGGACAGAGGGAGGCTGTAACTTGTCTGGGTCTCACTATTCACAGTAAGCCGCAGCTCTAGCAGCACCAGTCCAAACGCATACACGTCAGACTTCACCGTCCATGAGCCAACCAGCGGAGGAAGGTAGGAAGAGAGAGAAGGGATACACAATCACTGTAAGCAGAAGAAGCTCCAGCAGCACCACTCCAAAGGCATACACGTCAGACTTCCAAGTGAGCCATCCTGAGGAGGGGGGGCGGGAGGGGGGAAGGGAGGGAGGTTATACGGGTCCCACTAATACAGCTCTAGCAGCACCAATCCACACGCATACACAAGGGTAAAGGTGACCCCCCCTCCCCAAAAAAAACCATGGAGCGCACAACCATCGCTCAAACAAACACACACACCGTTACGGGAAGTGCACCCACTCACCTCTCTCCATGCACGCTGGGTCGATTCGATGTATCCCGGTGTGCCCTTCACCTTGGTCTCCACGTAACTCTCATCCCCCACCGGGAACACGTTGGTAAACGAACAGACAGACAGGGACAGACACAAACACCTCTCTGAATCCCTCACTCACCTCTCTGAATCCCTCACTCACCTCTCTGAATCCCTCACTCACCCCTCTCCATGTAAGCAGGGTCAATATACCCCGGTGTGCCCTTCACCTTGGTCTCCACATAGCTCTGATCCCCCACCGGGCCCACCTTGGCCAGCCCAAAGTCGCTCACTTTGGCCACCAGGTTCTGAAAGAGAGGGAGGGAGGAGAGAGGGAGTGCAAAGAAGAGATCAAAGGAAGTAAAGGGGAGAAACATAATTTACACTGGACTCAAGTTCCACCTCTGATCCCCCACCGGGCCCACCTTGGCCAGCCCAGAGTCACTCACTTTGGCCACCAAGTTCTGAATGAGGAGAGAAGAAGGGAAAGAGCAACAGGGAGAGAGAAAAAGGAGAGAGAACAACGGAGAGAGAAAAAGGAGAGAGAACAAGGGAGAGAGAAAAAGGAGAGAGAACAAGGGAGAGAGAAAAAGGGAGAGTGAAAAAGGAAGGAAGGGAGTGAGATGGAGACGTTTATAGAATTCGACTCACACGCAACCTACGAACCCCCACCGGGCCCACCTTGGCCAGCCCAAAGTCGCTCACTCCGGCTACCAAGTTCTGAGTGCGGGGAGGTGAAAGGGAGGGAGTGAGCGAAAAGAAGGTAAATGCTTATTAGTCAACTCGCTAAAAAAAAACCATAGATTTCCCACCGGGCCCACCTGTGCTAGCCCTAAGTCGCTCGCTTCGGCCACCAAGCTCCAAATGAGGGGAAAGGAACAGTCACATCGTCAAGCAGGATATAAAACAACTTGAAGTTCTGGTGAATGATGTTTCTTTTCATGGAATTGGTGCACCTCGATTCTTCCATGTACAGATCTCGTATCGATGCATGCATACACTACACACACATACACCACCCACTCACATCGTCAAGCAAAAAGTTAGACGACTTGAAGTCGCGGTGAATGATGTTTCTCTCGTGCAGATGGTGCAACCCTGTTGCCGCCCCCACAGCAATGAGTTATATGGCGTATATCACACATGAATCACGCACATTGTCAAGCAAAGATTGTAGACGACTTGAAGTCGCGGTGAATGATGTTCCTCTCGTGCAGATGGTGCAACCCTGTTGCCGCCGCCCACCTACCCCCCCCTCACCCCCCCCTCCCCACTCCCCCCTCCCTCCCCCCCCCCCCCCCCCCCCCCCCCCCCCCCCCCCCCCCCCCTTCTCCCCTTGTGTGTTAGATGGCATGTATGGCGCACGTGTCACTCACATCGTCAAGCAGGATGTTGGACGACTTGAAATCCCGGTGAGTAATGTTATGTTCCTCTCCGTGCAGATGGTACAGCTTGATAGACGCATCATATACACACACAACACGCGCGTGCATATGCGCACACACACCACTCGCACACGCCACTCCCACACACCACTCCCACACACCACTCACACACGCCACTCCCACACACCACTCCCACACACCACTCGCACACACCACTCCCACACACCACTCGCACACACCACTCACACACACCACTCGCACACACCACTCTCTCACATCACACCACCCACTCACATCGTCAAGCAGGATGTTGGACGATTTGAAATCGCGGTGAATGATGTTCCTCTCGTGCAAATGGTGCAGCCCTGTTGCCGCTCCCACGGCTATCTGCACCCGCTGCTGCCACGACAGGGGAATCACATTGTCGGCCGCTGTTGCTCAAACAAACAGGGTGGGGAGAAAAAGGAGTGCAGAGTCAGGGAGTCTGAAGGAAGGGCTGTAACAACCAACCCCAGCCCCCGCGGCTATCTACACCCGCTGCTGCCACGACAGGGGAATCACATTGTCAGCACCTGTTGTTCAGACAGACAGGGTGGGTGAAGAAGCAGGGGCGGAGAATCAGAAAGCGATGGGGCGATAGCATAGAAGCCCCGTTGTTGCCCCAACAGCTATCTGCACCCGCTGCTGCCACGACAGGGGAATCACATTGTCAGCACCTGTTGTTCAGACAGACAGGGTGGGTGAAGAAGCAGGGGCGGAGAATCAGCAAGCGATGGGGCGATAGCATAGAAGCCCCGTTGTTGCCCCAACAGCTATCTGCACCCGCTGCTGCCACGTCAGGGGAATCACATTGTCGGCCGCCATGGGTGGAGCAAAGATGACGAGGTGTGGGGGAGGGGGGAACGGGACTCAGAAAGAAAAGGGACTGTCACAGCTGCCCTGCCCCTGCGGCTATCTGCCCCCACGCCGCGGCTGCCCATGACAAAGGGATGACGTTGTCCGCGGTGGTAGTTAAGTTGAGTGCGCCTTTGGACACGTATTCATAAGAAAGTGATAGAAGAAGTGTTTTGAGAAGTGTTTTGAGACGTCTCAAAACACTTCTTCAATCAGGTGGTAGTTGAGTTGAGTGCGCCTTTGGACACGTATTCATAAGAAAGTGATTGAAGAAGTGTTTTGAGAAGTGTTTTGAGACGTCTCAAAAAACTTCTTCAATCAGGTGGTAGTTGAGTTGAGTGCGCCTTTGGACACGTATTCATTCATAGGAGAGAAAGAGCCCACCGCCGTCTACCTACATGCGAATCTGCGGCTATTTATCGTGACAACACGCAAAACACGCACACAGACAGGCTCTTTGGCCGGCTCACAGGTAACGCAGGCTTTTGAGAATTCTCAAACACGCACACGGAATGGCTCTTTGGCCTACTCCCAGGTAACGCGGGTTTTTGAGAATTCTCAAACACGCACACAGACAGGCTCTTTGGCCGGCTCACAGGTAAAGCAGTATGAGTGAGCGCACACACTGGCTCTTTCGCAGACTCGCGAGTAAGGCAGTAAGGGGGGGGCGGGTGGTTGGGTGGGAACGGAAAGACTCACTGGAAAAGAGGTGGTAGTTGAGCGCGCCCTTGGACACGTATTCATACACGAGGAGGACGGCCAAGTCGCCGTGCGCACTTACACTGCCTCTTTCACAAACTCGCGAGTAAGGCAGAAGGGGAGGGAGGTTGGTTGGGGACGAAGGGACTCACTGGAAAAGAGGTGGTAGTTGAGCGCGCCCTTGGACACGTATTCATACACGAGGAGGACGGCCATGTCGCCGTGCGCACTTACACTGCCTCTTTCACAAACTCGCGAGTAAGGCAGAAGGGGAGGGAGGTTGGTTGGGGACGAAGGGACTCACTGGAAAAGAGGTGGTAGTTGAGTGCGCCCTTGGACACGTATTCATACACGAGGAGGACGGCCATGTCGCCGTGCGCGCAGTAACCGTGCAGGTGAGATGCACACACACACACACACACACGCAGGGTCTTTTGAGTCGACTCAAAAGTAACCGTGCAGGTGAGATGCACACACACACACACACACACACACACACACACGCAGGGTCTTTTGAGTCGACTCAAAAGTAACCGTGCAGGTGAGATGCACACACACACACACACACACACACACACACACACACACACACACACACACACACACACACACACGCAGGGTCTTTGTGCGACCAACAGATGAGGCAGTAGGGGAAGGGGAGGGGGGAAACGGAGGTGAGGTGGTGGTAATCACTCACTGGAAAAGAGGTGGTAGTTGAGCGCGCCCTTGGACACGTATTCATACACGAGAAACGCCATCTCGCCGTGAGCGCAGTAGCCGCGCAGGCTGACCAGGTTGGGGTGGGAGAGGCGTTCCAACATGAGCACTTCCGTCTGCGAAAGGCAAGGAGGGAGGAGCAAGGGGGGAGGAAGGGGGGGTTGTTGGGGGGTTATTGGGGGGCTGTTGGGGGGCTGTTGGGGGGCTGGATGGCAGGCTGACCAGGCTCGGGTGGGAGAGGCGTTCCAACATGAGCACTTCCGTCTGCTAAACCAAGATTAGGGTTTGCCAGGAAAGGGGGGAGGGGGAAGTAGGGGGTGGGGGGGGGGGAGTCGGGAGAGAAGGGGCGGGGTTACTTTTGAGGCGCCTCAAAAGGGGGGGAGTCGGGAGCGAAGGGGCGGGGTTAGGAGGACGAGACAAGCCCATCTTTGAGACGTCTCAAAAATGTTCTTTCTACACGTGGCGGGGTTAGGAGGATGAGACAAGCCCATCTCGCCGTGAGCGCAGTACCCGCGCAGGCTGACGAGGCCGGGCGGGGTGGGAGAGGCGCTCTAGCATCAGCACTTCCGTCTGAGCCAAGAGGAGAGGGGGACCGCGGAGGGGAGGGGGACCGAGGAGGGGAGGGGGGCCGAGGAGGGGATGAGAGGAGAGAGAGCATATGCCGTTTATCAATCACTTGTGTGTGGAGAGAGAGCATATGCCGTTTATCAATCACTTGTGTGTGGAGAGAGAGCATATGCCGTTTATCAATCACTTGTGTGTGGAGAGTTTAGGGTGGACTGACGGCGAGGTTGGGGTGGGAGAGGCGCTCTAGCATCAGCACTTCCGTCTGAGCCAGGAGGAGAGGGGGACCGCGGAGGGGAGGGGGACCGAGGAGGGGAGGGGGGCCGAGGAGGGGATGAGAGGAGAGAGAGCATATGCCGTTTATCAATCACTTGTGTGTGGAGAGAGAGCATATGCCGTTTATCAATCACTTGTGTGTGGAGAGAGAGCATATGCCGTTTATCAATCACTTGTGTGTGGAGAGTTTAGGGTGGACTGACGGCGAGGTTGGGGTGGGAGAGGCGCTCTAGCATCAGCACTTCCGTCTGAGCCAGGAGGAGAGGGGGATTGAGGACGGGAGGGGCGGGGTGAAGGTATGTACAATAAGTAAGACGATGAAGAGACTGACGAGGTTGGGGTGGGAGAGGCGCTCTAGTATCAGAACCTCCGTCTGAGAAAGGACGACCGGAGGCGTAGTAAGGGGGGGGGGGGGGGGGAGTGGGAGCGGGGGGGAGTGGTGTGGGGAGGGGAGAGGGGAAGGTCTGAAGAGGAGATGACAGACTGACGAGATTGGGGTGGGAGAGGCGATTCAGAAATCGATTGGGGGGAAAGGGAAAAGGAAAAAGGGGAGGGGTACGATAGAATTGTGCCTGATCTATCCGCACTTTTTAGACAGACCAGGTTGAGGGAAGGGGGGAGTCAAAGAGATCGACTCTGATAGTAAACTAAAGTTAATACACCACAGTATAAACTAAGATAATAAACTATGACACTCACCACCCATTCCCGGTAACCGCTCGTCTTCCCGGAACTATTCAGCACTTTAATCGCCACTGCCTGTCCCGCAACCACCGCTGCCGCACCTTCTCCCTTCCCCTCTCCGCCGTTCCCATTCGCCTCCCCCTTGCCTCCGCGAATCACGGCCTTGTAGACCTTCCCGAACCCCCCCTCGCCCAGCACGGCTGATTGGTCGAAGTTGTTAGTTGCTGCTAATAGCACCTCATACTTAAACTCCTGTGGTAGTGACACGTGGAGCGTGGCTTCTGTGGTAGCGACACGTGGAACGGGGAGGGGGAGGAGAAAGGGGAGGGAGTGGGGACGGGAGAGGAAAGGGGGAAGGGGCGAGGATGAAGGAACAGGGCTATTGAGGGAACAAGGGGGCCAGGGAGGTAAGGGCGGAAGCGAGGGGAGAGGAGGAATCACGTAAAAGCAACTCCGATACTGATGTGCATAGGTGAGTATGGTATAGGTAGGTACCTTGAGGAGGCAAGGGGAGGAGGCAAAGGGAGGGGAGGGTGGGTAGGGTGGTGAATGGATGCAAGGATGATGGCTGGCATGATGTGTAAAAAGCAGGGCGAGAGACACAAATTTCGAAGGAAAGCAAGAATGGCAAGCCACTCAAGAGGCGCCTTTTTCACCACTTGTAATCCGATAATGCATATAGAAGCGCAGAAATGCCATGTAGACGCGCGTAAACGCCATGTAGACGCGCAGAAACGCCATGTAGACGCGCAGAAACGCTATGTAGACGCGCGTAAACGTCATGCCGAAACGCACAGGTTCATATACCCTGGTAGTTCTGAACTATAAGTACGCTCTCTCATTTCGAATAACAGCCGCGCAGTGGTTCAAGAACCGACCAGCTATCACTTACGAGGTGCTTTCTTCTCCTCTTGCGAGCCGCCATTGCAAATCGAAGCGCACAGGCCCATACGCCCAGCGATCGAGCTTCGCAATAAGAGATAGTTATTTCTTTAGCAGACTCGATAACGGCGCCACCTCTGCTGCTCTGCTGCCGCTGCCCCCAGCTCTTTATTCTCCTCGTCGCGCGTGTTATTACGAAGCCAGCCTAATCTCCTAAACCTGTCACTAGCCCTACCCAGTCCCAACCCTAGCTCCAAACCTAGTAGTAGCTCCAACCCTAGCTCCAGCCCTAGCTCCAGCCCTACTAGTTTTTACACGCCAGCACTAAGCTCGCAAGTACGCTGCTCCGCAGATCCTCCCACCCGTGCGGCTGGGATAGAAACTTCTCCAATTGAAACATTGCTACGTGGCGTGCCCCAACCTAAGCTAATTTGACACAATCGCAACGACGTCGCAAGCGTCGCAAAGACGTCGCAAAGGCGTCGCAATGACGTCCCGGACCCAAAGCTTGAAGCGCTTTACACGAATGTTACGGAAACAGACGGAACCGTTGAGATTGCACGCGGAAAGGTGAGCAATTCAGTCATACAATGTGTCTGCGACGCGTGTCAGGTGATTCTTAAGTTGCGGGTTATAATGTATCAGCGAGGTGTGACTGCGAGGTGTGTCTGAAAGCCCGTAAGCTGGTGCGGTGCAAACGCATTTAAAACTTCCGACAAACTACTATCAAAAGCGCCTCTTTTATGACCTGACAATTAGGTAAGCAGGAGGGCTGCGGAGTTATCAGCTCATCGCTCGGGTGAAGGTTCGTTGCTCGAACCATCATACATGGCGATCACATTACCGAGCCGATGGCGGATGGCAATTGGCCAATCAGAACAGCGATCGGTAAGTTGAACGATGATTAAGAGCCGACGGTCAGAAGTTATACAAAAAGCAGTGAATGCTAAGTACTGGTTGCACCTAACAACACCTAGATGCAATCTTGTTAGGGCGAGTCACGGTTAGTAGTAGCAACATGGTCAAGACGAGGATCCTACTAGAAGTAACGCCTTTGGTCGGTTCAGGCGAACAAGACCTGGTCCGAATGAAAGCCCACACAGAACTTGTACGTGTGCCCTCTTATCGTTTTGAATTGAGGGTGTACAGTGCGCATTTCCCTCGGTTGGCAACCTCACGACCTTCTGAGCACAGCAGTTTTAGGAGAATATTGGATTGTAGCCGGGCTGTCTTAAAACAAACCCTGCATTGGAAATCCAAGACAGATTCTGTACACTATAAGTGTATGATATCTGCTCGGGACTTTGGCATAGTTCTAGGCCAAATCTGCTAAGCAGATTTTGTCCACTTAAGGTTGTGAACGAGTGCCTGTGGGACCAGGCTGGTTCGAACTCGGCCGAAACAATTGACAGATGAGGAGTGCTGAGAAAAACAGCAGTGGGAATAGAGCCAGGTAGTTGTCACAGACCTCTGAGGGCGTATCTTTGGTTCGGGTCATGGCACTGTTCATCTTACTGTTCGGGTCATGCGGGAATCGCGCATGACCCAAAGTGGCCTTCTGAAGTGCGGAATAGGTGGCGTTTTGTGCTATTAGGGTCATGCTGAAAACGCGTATGACCCAAAGTAGCCTTATGACCCAAAGTAGCCTAGACCCAAAGTAGCCTTATGACCCGAACCAAAGATACGCCCTGAGCCACGGCCGGGCTACACAGGAAGAGCTGTATCCACACTGTAGTGAGCCACAAGGAAACATTCGGAACAGAACGGGATAGGGTCAGCCGGATTGTCTCGTAAGACATTTGGATTTTTCGGGTTGGACCAGCTCTGACCTTGGGGCACCACCTGTAAACAAGGTGTTGTCGGTGTGCTTCACTTGCATCCGATCAATGTATGCCACTGCACTAGAAAAACCTGCGTCTTTCATCTGAACTGTCTAGGTAACTAAATTAAGAGTGTAATCCTTGAAGCCATATACACACTCTGAACTGTCTAGGTAACTAAATTAAAAGTGTAATCCTTGAAGAAGCCATCTAAAGAAGCACATTGAGAGCATTGTGTTGTGTGCTGATCCTACAATTCCGCCGCTGTCTGAAGCCATGACCACAATTCTTTGTGCGTTGCTCCTAAGGTCTTTCACACTCACTCCTCCGATGCTTGTTTTGCTTCGGATGGGAAGTTGGAGCACCACATCTGGGAGGGAATGGCGCGGCTCGGGGCGATCGGCCGTTGCTGAAACATGCATCACGTGGTTGGGGATGGTTGGGAACAATTGGGGTCGGTTGGAGATCGTCGTGAGGGGGTGAGACACACGACGACACAGGTATTGGGAAGCCGATCAAGGGGGCTATAGGCAGACATGGAAGCACAAAGCAAACGGTTTATACTGAGATGCACGGCATAGAATTAGGGTATCGGGAGATTGGGGAATTTGGGGAGAGTACCAAGGAGGGGCAGAGGGAGAGTGGGAAAGGAAAGCACATGAAGGGAATTTGAGGGAATGGAGCGAGGGATTGAGGGAAGAAGAGATGCAGGTGGGAAGGGAGGAAATAGGGGCGGAAGTGGGGAATTAAAAAGGTCTGTAAACCCGCACCTACAAACCATAAAAGAAATCGTCTGATATCACATTCATTATCGCGTAAATTATATGTTCAGTATGTTTGAAAACACACTAGAAGATTTAGGCACTTCAAGGCTTCAGCGCTGATATATGCGAGCACGAGAATCGAACTCACCCTGCCTGAGTATTTTTACATCTTTTTCAAACTATTATCACAAAGAGACAGCCAGTATGTTTGAAAAATACATGGCAGAAAGCACGGGTATACCCGAGCACTAACATCAGGCCGCCGCTCGCTGGTGGGGCACTGCTTAACCGTCGCTCTCTGGTGGGGCACTGCTTAACCGTCGCTCTCTGGTGGGGCACTGCTTAACCGTCGCTCACCAAGATCAACTACCGTACGTGCGTACGACCACGTCGATATTACCACCTCGTGAATACAAAGTTACGAGCCATTTCGTAACGTCGTGTCGAAACAGTTGACACCTCCCCGCTTTCCCAAAAAAACCTCTCATACAGTAGGCTTACACAAGCTTACGACATAAGCAATCTGATATAGTCGCACCTGTCGCACGCGTCGCACCTGTCGCGCGTGTCGCACGCGTCGCACGTGTTGCGCGTGTCGCAGCGAAACTAAACGGATCCATCCATTCACGATAGTGACCGACTGACCTCGAGCCGTGCTGACGTCAGGGCGATCGGAACGCAAACGACAAAGATGCCGGCCAAGGCGAACGCGGTGTTGCGACGCCAGTATTTCGGGTCGCAGTACCACCCGCCGGTTAACGCCCAGACGTTAGGGTAACCGCCAGCAGCACCGCCGCCTCCTCCCATGCTGTGCGAATTCCGCGAAGGTTGGCGAAAAGGAAGCGAACGAAAGGGTGGATGGGAAGGGCGGCGGGGCAAGGTGGCGGAGAAATGGAAGAGCGAGAGTTGCGGCGGGAATGACGGGAGGTATGGGGTTGTGCCGAGTGTAGGCGGGAGATGCTCTCAGGTGTGCTTGTCGTCCCGCGGTTGGAAAAGATACGCGATACAAGCTGACAGTAGCAGAGGAAGTACAATAACAATGGTGCAAACATTTGGAAAGTGCTTACCCGGTAATGATGTTCTTTCGGGTAAACAAACTCTCTTTCAACAGTCAGATTGCCTGATTCACCCGGTATCAAATTTGCCAGCTCAAATTTAGACAAGAGAATGTTCACCAATACCTGTGCACAGGCAAACTGGTTTGGCAAGTGATGAACCGCCTCCCGCCCAACCAGGAGGGATTGCACCCCTACAAGGTGCGACGCAAAATGCATTTATTATTATTGTAATAGCCAGTGAAACGCCCATCGATGAAAGTCTTCAGCAAATGTAATGCCCTAGCGTAATTTCCTACTGGCCCAGCAAACGCCTTGTTCAACCACCTCTTTACGCCCCCTCTCATGCAATCTCCCCAGCATCATCCTCATCCCGCACTCTAGTAAAACACTTCCGTTCCACTCGTACAGTCAACCCTGTCTCCTCTTCTCCTCTCACTGAATCTTCCAGAATGTTCTCTACTACACCCTCATCCAAACCCTGCTCCTTCCCCCCCTCCTTCCCCCCCTCTTCACCTCCATCGCCTCCTCCCCCCCACATAATCCCCCTTGCCACATCTGCCAGCCCTTCAAACCCCAGCCACCCTGCCTCTCCTGCCTCCTCCTTCCTCTCCCTCCCCTCCTCTCCTGTCTCTCCTCCCACACCCCACCACCCTGTCCCCAAACTCCAACCACTAACCCCACCAGACCCAGAAAAACCACCAGTCCCACCTCCCCCTGCTGCGCCCTCCATTAGCTTCTCCAGCCCAATAAGAGGCACAGGCGGGGAGTACCTGGGAAGGCACAGCTTGGCTTGTTTCGCAGGCTTGGGTATACAAGGAGGCCGCCATAACTCCCTCGAGGCGGAATAGACGGCCACAGCCGCCCGGATGGACTCTCCGGGGGACACTGGCGCTGCCACCGCCGCCGCTGCTGCTGACAGCAAGAAGCTCTCACTCTTCACTCGCACACTCCTACCCCCTTTCCTGTTCTCATTCCTCTCCTCACTGCTGCCCTCGTTGCTCTCCTCATTCATCTCACTCCAAAGCTCGTTCTCCCCATCACTTTCCCTATCACTTTCCCTATCAAGTTCCCTGTGCTTTACCCCATCCTTCCATCCACCGCCCATGCCATGCAAAAGAATGGTCTCCTGGCAATGCTCCAGCAGGGCGCTCTCTTGAAAGGAGAGCAGCGAGCGGGAGATGCGCAGCGAGCGAGGGAGCGACCGCTTGGTCCAGTGGGGCAGGCTGGGGAGAAAGAGGCCGGCGGGGGTAGGATGCAAAGGGGATGGGGAATGCAAGGAGGCATTGAGAGGCAGGGAGAGGGTACATGATACACCCATGCTCTCATGCCATCGCCTCAAGCGAGACTCAAGTGACTCCTGCCCGTCCTTCCCTCCCTCCCCTTCGTCTGCTGCTTCTTCTGTTTCTTCTGCCATTTCTTTTGCTGCTGCTGCTGCTGCTGCTGCTGCTGCTGCTGCTCCTGCTGCTGAAGCTGCTGCTGCTTCTTGCGAGGCTTGTGACTTGAGAACACGGGATGACAGTGGGGATTGTAGTGGGAGCGGCATGGCCTCAATATCAGGGCAGGTGGAGGTGCGGTGGAGCCTCCTAGACACACCCGCCTGTCGGCCCGCTGCTGAGGTAGGTGCTGCTGATGCAACTGCTGCTTCTACTGCTGCTGCTGCTGATACTGCTTGTAGGTGCATGCCCTCCTGCCTGCTGATAAGGCAGGAGGACATGCCCTCAACATCATCAAGACAAGTGGATGTGCGGCGGAGCTGGCTAGATGCAGCCACCTGTAAACCCACCTGTCGACCTGCTGTTGGTCTCCGTGGCAACATCGGGGCAGCTGAAACAATCATGCTGTCTGCTGCTTCTCCTGCTGCAGCTGCTCTGTACAGACTCCTGTCTGCACTGCACGCATCAAGGCTCTCTGCAGACGCAGATCGACCAGACAGCCCCATACTGCTGAGGTGCATGCTGGTGAGGTGGGAGGAGAGGATGATCGGAACTGGTGAGATGTCACACACGCTCAAGATGCGCTCACATACCAGACTCGCACTGCCCACACTCCGCACACTCCCCACCACACTGCCCGCACACTCCACACTGCCTACTAGGCTTGCACTACTCAAGCTGTTGCCTCGCTGCAAGATCCGTTCACGCGAATGTTGACGACGAGAGGGGCGGTCCGAGGGGCAACCACATGTGCTTAGGCTCAGGCCCTGCTTGCGCACCATGTTTGCGCTGCTCATGCTCCTCAGGCTACCCGCACCCCCCCCACAGCACACCATGTTTGCACTGCTCATGCTGTTGTGGCGCTGCAAAGCCCGTTTGAAGGCACTGCCTCTGCTGCTACAACTGCTGCTACAGCCGCCTCTACTACCACAGCCGTATCTGCAGCTACAGTCGTCTGTAGTGCTCCAGTAATCCCTGCTGTGAGTATCTTCCTCGAGAGCATTCACCGACGCATCATCCCCATTCGATGAAGGATCATCACTGTACACACAGTCAGCAAGGGCTTCGCTATAAGCACACCCATCACCAACCTCCTCCTCCTCCTCCTCCTCCTCCTCCTCCTCCTCCTCCTCCTCCTCCTCCTCCTCCTCCTCCTCCTCCTCCTCCTCCTCCTCCTCCTCCTCCTCCTCCTCCTCCTCCTCCTCCTCGTTCTCCTCCTCCTCGTTCTCCTTGCCCTTATGCTTCCCCCCATCCCCGTTCTCCCTCTCTTCCTCCCTGAGATTCGCAGCCCTCTCACCCACATCCCTCCTCTCTTCCTCACTCTTCTGCTGCTCCTCCGCTTCCACACCCTTACGCTTCCTCTCAACCATGTCATTCCACTCATTCTCCCTCCCTTCCTCCTCGAGTCCCACACCCCTCTCACCCATATCCCTCCACTCCTCCTCACCCTTCTGCTGCTGCTCCTCTAGGTCTCCCCACTCTTCCTCCTCCCTCGCTTCCTCCTCCCCTTCTTCCTCTTCCCTCTCTTCCTCCTCCCTATCTTCCTCCTCCTTTCCTTCCTCCTCCCTCTCTTCCTCCTCCCTCAATCCCACCTCCCCCGCTTCCTCCTCCCTCTCTTCCTCCTCCCTCCAATCCTCCTCACGCTTCTGCTGCTGCTTCTGCTGCTGCTCCTCAGTAGAAGCAGCGGTTGTAGTAGCAGGTGCAGCAGCATCAGCACAAGCAGCAGCAAGAGTAGCAGCAGGGGGGAGGGAGGCGAGGGCGGAAGTCTCAGCAGAGCCACTGGCTGTAACAACAGTGGCTGTGGCAGCAGCATCTGTAGCAGAGGGGAGAAGGGCAATGGCCGCAGCAAGAATACATGCGAGAGCAATCCCAGCCTTTACAGGAAATGGCTGACCCGCCACCAGCTCTGCTGCTGCTGGTGTTGCTGCTGCTGCTGCTGCTGCTGCTGCTGCTTCTTTTCGAGATGACTCAGAAGCAATCCCTGCCTTTACCGGCAACGGCTGACCCGCCACCAGCTCTGCTGCTGCTGACTTTTGAATCGTCTCAGAGGCAAGTCCTGCTTTTACAGGCAATGGCTGACCTACCACCCACGCTGCTGCTGCTGACTTGAAATTGCTGCCACTGCTGCCTCTTCTGTTGCTGCTTCTGCTACCACCGGAAGGGGGTTTTGTGGGCGTCCCACAAATAGGCGCATGCAGGGCAGGGGGGGGTTCCGGGTTTGGAAAAGGCGAGACCTGGTTCCACCTACCAGCCACGTTCTTGTGCGTCTCAGAAATGGGTGCATGCACGGCAGGGGGGTCAGGTCCTGGGAAAGGTGCGACCTGACTCTGCCCCCTCCCAACCGCCTTCAGAGGCGCCCCAACACTAGGTGCATGCAGGGGAGGGTGATCCGGGATGGGGAAAGGTGCGACCTGGCTCTGCCCTTTCCCTCGGCTCTTCCTGAACAGCCTCAGCACTGCCTTGCGCATCCTGCTGTTGCCGCCACTCTTTTCAGCACCAGCACCAGCAGCAGCACCTTCAGCAGCACCAGCACCACCAGCACCACTGGCAGCAGCAGCAGCAGCAGCAGCAGCAGCAGCAGCAGCAGCAGCAGCAGCAGCAGCAGCAGCAGCAGCCTCAGCTGCCTCCTTGCTCCTGAACACTGCCTTGCGCATCCTGCTGTTGCTGCTGCTCTTCTCACCAGCACCAGCACCAAAAGCAGCACCAGCAGCACCAGCACCAGCACCGCCAGCACCGCCAGCACCGCCAGCACCACCAGCACCACCAGCACCAGCACTGGCACTGGCACTGGCACTGGCACTGGCGCTGGCACTGGCACTGGCACTGGCACTGGCACTGGCACTGCCACTGCCACTGCCACTGCTACCAGTTCTGTGCATTGGTAACGCGTTGCTGCCGTCACCGTTGCTTCTGGCAGCTTCATCCGCCTTGCTGAGCCGCTGTGCTGTATCTCTTTCTGCAAGTGAACTGAAAGCAGCAGTCACACCACCGCCACCACCGCCACCACCGCCACCACCGCCACCACCGCCACCACCGCCACCACCGCCACCACCGCCACCACCGCCACCACCGCCACCACCGCCACCACCGCCACCACCGCCACCACCGCCACCACCGCCACCACCGCCACACGCCACCGCCACCACCGCCACCACCGCCACCACCGCCACCACCGCCACCACCGCCACCACCGCCACCACCGCCACCACGCCACCACCGCCACCACCGCCACCACCGCCACCACCGCCACCACCGCCACCACCGCCACCACCGCCACCACCGCCACCACCGCCACCACCGCCACCACCGCCACCACCGCCACCACCGCCACCACCGCCACCACCGCCACCACCGCCACCACCGCCACCACCGCCACCATCGCCACCACCGCCACCACCGCCACCACCGCCACCACCGCCACCACCGCCACCACCGCCACCACCGCCACCACCGCCACCACCACCACCACCAGCATCAGCAGCAACAGCAGCGGCAGCAGCAGCCTTGCCATCGCCACTACCACCACCACCTCCTTCCCTATCACCCATATCACTCCTATCACCACCCACATTTGAGCCCTTATCAGCCATCACCCACAGCTGTCTCCTTGCTCCTCCCCTCCTCCCACTCCCCTTGCCGCCACTCCTTTCCCTTCCATCCCTACCACCGCTATCCCTGCTCCCATCCACTGGCCTCTCATCATCCACCACCCACAGCTGCCTTCTCGCTCCTCCCTTCCCCCCACTCCCCTTGCCACCACCGCCACCACACCCTTCCCAATCACTCCCAATCTTGTCAAACCCATCACCCCTATGACCATCCCTATCACTGCTCCCATCCACTGGCCTCTCATCATCCACCGCCCACAGCTGCCTCCTCGCTCCTCTCCTCCTCCCACTCGCCTCACCACACCCTTCCCTTCCCCTCCTTCCATCACCCCTATCCCTCCTCCCATCCACTGGCCTCTCATCACCCACCACCCGCGGCTGCCTCCTCGAACATCTCCTCCTCCCGCTCCCCTCGCCACCACACGCTTCCCATTCACTCCCATCACTCCCATCACTCCCATCACCCATATCACTGCTCACAGTTAATGAGCCCGCATCAGCCACCTCCCACAGATGCCTCGGAGCTCCTCTCCTCCTCCCACATCGCTCGCCACAATCCGTATGAGAACCTCCACCCAACGAACGACGATCCGTAGGGGTGGCATTGACATAGCTCCCATCCAATGAGCTCTCATCACCCACTACCCACAGCTTCCTCGGAGCTCCTCTCCTCCTCCCACATCGCTCGCCACAATCCGTAGGAGAGCCTTGAGCCAAAGCATGGTGGCCCATGCAGTCGCCATGCGGCACAGCGTTGAGCCATGGGGTGGCATCAGCACCGAGCAGCTTCCATGCGCTCATCAGCGGCACCTCACTGCACGCTTCTGGGGATTGGACCGTGTTGGGCGTTTTCGCCGTTCTCGGCAATTCCGGCGCTTTCACCTTGTTGGGCGTGTTAGGCAAACTCGGCGTTCTCGGCTTTCCCGGCAGCCCAACGCGTCCCGTTGAAAACCCAGGAAGATCTGACCCTGCTCTCGGTGTCTTGGACAGCCCAACCCGCTCTTCCAGTGAATCAGGCAGGGCATATGCACCTCGCTTCTCAAGTGGGGTATGAGGCAGCAGACCCACACCAGCATCCCCCGACTTGCCACGCCTTTCAAGCTTCCCAGCCTTCTCAGGCGGTTTTTGGGACTCCCACTCGGTCTGCGCAGATATTGACTGCCGATAGTCGTACCTCCCCCCTCTCTCAACGGAAGCGGCGCATATTTTGCCAACCTCCCCTGACTTGCCACAACTTGCCAGCTTCCCAGCCCTTCCAGGCGATTTTTCAGACTCCCGTTCAGTCTGAGCAGATATTGACCGCCGATAGTCGTACCTCCCTCCTCTCCCAACAGGGGAAGAGCTTATGTGAGCCGAAGTGAAGGGCGTTAGGAAGTCGTACCTCCCTCCTCTCCCAACAGGAGTGGAGTTCCGTTGAACCGAAATGAATGGAGAGACCGAAGGGGCGGAGGAGAAGGGAGAGAGAAAGGACGAGGAGAAAAGAGAGGGCATGGAGGAGGGCAGGGAAGAAGGCAAGGATGAAGGCGTGGGAGAGGGCAAAGGAGCGGCCATACCGGGGGGCGGTTTCAAGGGAGAATAGGCCGAATCAAGGAAAGTGGAGGGAATCTCTTGGGGAGGGATTGTGGGTGGGGCGTCTAAGACAGGAGGGGGGATGAGGATGCGAAGGGAAGGCAATCGACTCTTTTTTTGCGTGCTGTTGGTGGCGTTGCTGCTGATGATGTTGATGCTTGTGTTGGGATGAATGTTGGTGTTAATTGCATTGCAGCAACTGCTGCTGCTGCTGAAGCTGCTGCTACTGCTAGCACTGCTACTGCAGCTGCTGCTGCTGCTGCTGCTTAATATAGACTGTGACACCGGTTGCTTGTGGGAGGAGGAGGAGAGAGAGAAGGCACGCAGAAGGCGGCGAGGGGCGAGAGGAGGCATGGGGGGGCGCGGCAAGGAGGAAGGCGTGAGAGGTTGGCATTGGCGTAGGAAAGGAGAGGCGGAGCGAGTCAAGGGGGAGGGGTTGTGGGAGCGAGTGACAGGGGAGGGGGGGTCTAGCAGCATTCCGGTGGGAATCTCGAGGGCACAGGACGAGGACGACCGCCAATGCCTTGTCAGGTTCCTTCCTTGCTGCGTCCCCTCCTCATGCTGCTGGCGCTGCTGCTGCTGCTGGCGATTCTGCTGCTGCTCTTGCGGCTTTTCCTCCTGCAGTTTCCCCTGCTGCAGCTGCCGCTGCTGCTGCCACCGCTCCTTCAAACGCGCCAACCCTCCCAGCTTCTGCTTCTTATGCTGCTGCTTTTCTTTCATCTGCCTTTCTGCATCATCACATCCACCCCATGCTTCCTCACCTCCTCTCTCCCACTCCCCTCCCCCACCACAGCTCTCTCTTGCATATGTACGCTCCTCTTCCCCCGTGTCCTTGATTCTGGTTACCAACTCGCTAGCATCATCCGCTTCCTCCTCGATTTTGATGAAAATTGCCTTCTTTCGCATGCCAAACCTGCCCGGCTCCGAGCCTGACCTTCGGAACACGCGTTGTTGCTTCCGAGCTTGCTGGTTCAGAGGCTCGGCAACAGCAGCCGCACCACCACCACCACCAGTAGCAGCACCAGCAGCAACAGCGGCATCAGCATCAGCAGCGGCAGCAACAACGGAGGCCGGTTGGGCGAAGGGCACGCGGGCGAATTCAGAGATGGCGTTGGTGAGAGCAGCGGAGGCCGTTTGCTCTGCGAGCTGCCTCAGACCCTTCAGAGGAAGGCCGCCCCTCCCAATGCTGCTGCCTGTGCTGCCACCACCGCCACTGCTGCAGCTGCTCCCGCTGATGTTGCAGCTGCTGCTTCTCGTGGTGTTGGTGCGGCAGCAGGAGAAGCACTGGCGGCGGCGGTGGCAGTGCGTCCAGGCAGCATGGGCGGCACTGATGGCGGCGATGGTGCGATGCAAGGGCGCTGGCTTCTCACGACCCGCGATGGTGCTCGGCGGATCAACTGGGGTGGGGGGTAAGGGGTGGGAAGGGGTGGGGAGTGGAAGGAAGTGGTGGGGAGGAGTGGGAAGTGGTGGGGAGGAATGCGGGCGAGGTGAGGCGGGGGGAGGATAATAGGTGCCATGCAACGGCGCTGGCTTTTCACAACCCGCGATGGTGCTGGGCAGATCGACTGGAAAAAGGGGGGAGGGGTGGGGTTTGCGGGGGAAGGAAAGGGGGTAGAAGGGGTAAGGGGATGAGGGACAGGGGGAAGGACAACAGACAAAAAAACGGTGAGAGAAAACGGAAGAGGGTGGGGGACTGGGGAGATCAGGGTGGGTAAGAGGGGGGGAGGAGCCAGGGAGCAGGGCATGAGAGAGCATGGAAGGGGTATTAGGGAGGTGCATAGTTCGGTTGTAACGCCTCGCTACCCAGTGGGAACTGAGGTGGCGAGGGAGGTGAGGTGAGGTGACATGTGCACTTCACGCGTCAGTTATTATTATTGATGGAAAAACATTTGCTCATGCGAGAGAGAGAGGAGGCTCCACTTACACACGGTGTTACACTTGTAGTATTTCAGCCACTCCACTATTTCGCGCAGCTTCCCTTCCAACCAAACCGGGTAACCACTTCGCGAATCCAGCAGCGCCGCAGCCATCGGATCCGACGAATCTACGGCCACAATCTTCCAGGAGGACTCGAGATCCGGGCTGACGACGAGGAACGCGAGCAGCGGCTTCACCAGATACACCTGCCCTACTCGCGCCTCCCCGCGCCCGATTTCGATCACCTCTAAAGGGGCGTGCTGGTCGCACGAAAGGTCGCACGCACTGTCGCGCGCATTGTCGCACATGGTCCCGCATGTCGCCGCGTCGCATGTCTTGTCGCCAGATCCAGACTGGAGATTTCCTGCGACGATGTCGCCTTGGCGACAGGAGCACGTCTGCGGGATGATCCCGAGGTTCCAATCGAGATTGTGACTGTAATGAGCGGGTAACCCGTCCACTTGGCGAACGCGAAGCGGGTGCCACGCCTCGTTATAAGCCGCCTCGATTTGCACCCATGAATTCCGCGGCGTGCAGCACACCATAGAAACACTCTCGCCAGCCCTAATCAAGTCTGAAACCCCTTCCGCCCTATTTGAGTCCGCCGTTAGCCCATTCACACTCGCCGCTTCATTACCGCAACTCCTTTCACCAATCGAACCCTGTAACGCTCGAGCGAAGCTTACACCACCGCCGCCGCCGCCGTCCGATAAGGCGGCGGGTGAGTCAGCGGGGCGAATCGACACGTCATCCCACGTGGAGACTGGGTGGAGGACCGTGGCTTCCTCCTGATCTCGCCCGACAGGCTGGATGTCACGGCAAGAGTAGATGTCACTGGTAGACTGGATGTCATTAGAAGGCTGGACGTTGGAAAACGAAGACCAGGATGGAAACGAGGAAAAGGATGAGAAGGAAGAGGAGGAGGAGGAGGACGGTGCGCTCCCGCTGGTTCCTGAACTGATCGTGCCTACGGATGGTTCTCGCACGTTGCTGGTGGTGGTGGTGCTAGGAGGGTCCGACGCGGACAGGAGAAAGCCCCGGTACAGCACGGATCCGGGGAGTCCGAATTCGATATAATCAGAAGCCTCCATTGCGGAGCGTTTGTTTCGTCTCTTTTCGTGATAGTTACTGATCGTGCGAATTCCCTCGTACGTGATGCAGAACCTTGATCGGATCTCGCGTTAGAGCGCTGTCGCGGCTTCGCTATTACTAGCAGTCGTGGTAGTACCGATGCTGCTGCTGGACTCGTCATGCAATACCCTCGCGCTGGTTTGGAAGTGTGAAAACCCCAGGCTCTGCTTAAGTTAGGATTCTCTTACGTGATACCGCAGTAGGGCGACCGACCTAGGTTGAGAAAGCGAGTACCTGCCTCGATCAGCAATCGAAGTGTCGCCGGCGTGTGATCAGGAGATCAGCATTGAACGAAACGCGAGCGATCAGCAGCAGCACCGGGAAACGAAACGCCTATTCCTTCTTTTTCTTTCCTTCCGCCCGTTGAAATTCCAAACATGACCGTTAGGAATGACAGCCCGAGGCCGGAATCTATGAGAAAGCGACGCGGACGGATCAACCTGTGCTCGGAGCATCTCATTCCGGAATGGGTGATTACGACGAAAGATGCGATTGCAATCGACGAATCTAATCGGCGTGCCCCGCCCCCCAGTCGAGTCGGGATCTGCATCACTCCCCGACGCCTCCGCATCTTGCGGACGAGGCGTAACTGTACGGATACTGAGTGTGGCTGGCACGTCCATTCGCAGCAGTGCCGCTCTCGCTCAATCACCATCGCGGAAAATTTTACTATATGGATCATGCACAGCTTTAGAAGTAGATCGGACGATCCGTGTTACTACTGTGCGATGCTGGTACGAGTACAGTTGCCACTCTCCGTTGCGTCGGCAGTAGTCGATATCTGAAATTCGTGCGACGCTTGAGGGAGTGCGAAACAATGCGGTGTCGCCATGTGCGGAAAAGACAGCAGGACTGAGGAAGGATTGTCCCCCACGCCTTGTCGCTCGACATCGGCGGCTCGAGATGTGCACAGTGTTCTGTACTCGCCATCTACGGCCGGGTGTTCTGACGAATCGCGGTGACCGTTAGGTCCTTCGAAGCTTGTTTTTGAGCGGAAACGGGCTCCCTCCCACAGTCCCATACCGATCCCCCAATCGAAAAACTTGCAACGCGGAAGCGGAGGACATAAATGGCGAGATAAGGACGTGACGTTGAATAAGGACGACTGGGAGAGAAAGCTCCAGAAAATTGCTTCACGATCCGCTTCAGCGGAGTCCAGCATTATCTCGGTTCCAAACGTTATTGAAACTTGGAGATCTGTTCGGAGTGGTTGAGTTGAGAGGCTGATGGTGGTGCCTGCTCCTGCCCTCCATTTGAAAGCAGATTGGTTGATCCAACGGCTAAATGCTCTCTGGGACTGTCACGAACCACACGAAATCGAACCACACCACACAGCAGCAACTCCCTCTCCTCCTCTCCGCTCTCCCTCCCTCCCTCTCGCCTGCGCCCCCTTCACTCTCCCCACCGTACGCCCCTTCGGCTTCGAGTGGCGACGCGTGTCGTTGTGGTGGCGGCGACAACCATTGCGAAACATTTCTCTGTTGTGTGACGTGAGCGGGTGTGCTAGCGACACATAGTTCTGTCGCCGAGCGACGAATTTCTGTCCGTCGCCATTCAACGCAACTTGGCTAGTGGGTGGGTGGAAGTGTGGAACTGGTCCTTTACCTGTGGTAACTACAGTGCGGCGTATGTGTGAGGAATATTTATAATTCTTACTGGGTCACACTGTATGCGTACGACTCCAACTCCCTGGAAGACTAGACTCGTCCAATGACGCCTCCCGAACGTTTCCCGCGTCACTTACGGCCTTGGCAGCCCCTGACCAGCACCCAACCCGTTATTGACTTCTGCGCACTCTTCCTATTGACAGCTCATAACAGAAGGGACGAACGAAAACTCCACCAATAAAAACTTCATTCTCAAACAACCGTTATGCATGCTCTCTTTTTATTTTTTCTCTCGTCCAATTGTCCGTATCGCGTACAAATTCCGATTCACCTATCTTAGGGCGTGTCCAGTTCGTTCATTTCGGGATTTCTCGTGCCAACGCACGTATCGAGGTTCAAAAATGACTACCGTACCTAGAAACGAATGCATTGTGAGTGGAGTCCAACCATCCTGTAATTTCAGAAGCGCGGACACATTCCCCGCCACACGAATCAACAGTGCTCTGACCACGTTGAAAATGAGGTAACAGTTTCCCTCGTCAATCATAGCTTGAAAATTTTTGTGCGGGCGCAGTGGGCGCTGGCGAGTAGAGCGAAACACTGACGAAATCGTGCAAGCGATACAAGGGAAACGAACTGTAGTGGCCAAGACGCGGTGCTGTACCCTTGTTCGCGACCCTGCTGATTCCAGTAACGTGAGTCAGACGACTCTAGGTACGTGCATGGGGCGTGCCGTCTTGCGAACAGAAGCTGATTGTGTCCGCTGGACACGTTCAATAAAGGGTTACCACAAAAAATGTGGTAACTGAGGGGATTTACGAACAGTAAATGTACGAGCTGGACCCCCCCTTACTCATTTTCGTTGTCGCTTCAGAGGAATCGTCAACGCGGAACGTACATTTCAGTCTTGCCTGCTCCGCAGCTAGTAGTACAAGCGAAATAAGGTGAACCACCGTAATGCACCAGGGGAATTTGCGATAGGGTTGTCATTCAAGGGGGTGGACGAAGCGAAACTAGGTTTGACGAGCATTTGTCATGGGGCAGGGCGCTTCGCGCCGTGATGGGCGGCAGAACGAGGCGGCGCGCGGCGGCAGCCATGGCGGCATCCTCACGGGCTGCGACGTGCTGCGCGCCGAGTCGTTCGAGAGGCTGCGTGGGAGCAAGGTGGGTGGGAGAACGGGAGTAAAGCATTCATGCACGTGTGCGTTATAAGGCCGCGCTTTGGTGGGCCCATACGCGTTAAGAGCGAGCGAGGGAGGGGAGGAGGAGGAAGCATGGGTCCGGGCAATGTACACGTTACAAGGTTCTATAGTAGGCCCCCTTTGGACAATCGAGTCCGCTCTCCCCTTCCCCTCACCGTCTCACCCAGGCCAGTAGGTCGGGCTGATCGCCATTGGCAATGCCACGTCAGTGCTTCGCCTGTCCCTCTTCCTCCCTTCCCCCTCCACCTCATTCCCTTCCCCCTCCCCTCCCCTCCTTCATATGCTCCCCTCCCTTCCCCACGCCGTCTCATTCGGACCTCTCCCTGTTCCTCTCTCCCCTCCCCTCCCCCCTTCCTTTACCTTCCCCCTCATCATCTGGTTACTGCTGACAGGTCGGACTGATAGATAGCCAATGCCACGTGCTTTTGAGTCGACTCAAAAGATAGATAGCCAGTGCCACGTCTGTGCTTCGAGATCTCACACGCTTGGTGAGCCTCGCCTCGCCTCACACACTGTTGGAACGATGCTGTAACAGAGCTGGAACGTTTCGCTCCCTCCCTTCCTGTGTCCCCCTTTCCCCTCTTCCTTTCCAGGTCGGGCTGATAGCCAATGCCACGTCAGTGCTTCGAGATCTCACACACTTGGTGAGCTTCAGACTGCCGAAACAATGTTCAAACGACTGTTGAAGCAACGCTGTAACATTCTTGGCCTGCCTCAAACGCCGGCCTAGCAGGCCGGACTGATTGCCAGTGCCACGTCTGTGCTTCGAGATCTCACCCGCTTGGTGAGCCGCAGACTGCTGAAACAGATTCTCAGACTGCTGAATCAGATTCTCAGACTGCTGAATCAGATTCTCAGACTGCTGAATCAAGTCTAGAGAAAATGCTGTAGCAATGCTGCAACCAGCAGCCATGTGAGAATGATGTAACAAAGCTGTATTGTAACAATTCTGCAACAAAGCAACCTCCCTTTTACCTCCTTGGCAATTCTTTCACGGCTGCACACCCCCAACCGCCCTTCCACCTCTCAAACTTGCATCCGGTGCCCCATCACTTGCATCCGGTGCCCCATCACTTGCATCCCGTGCCCCATCACACAGGCAGATGCCATGCATGGTTTCACAACTGTGCACTCCCCACCTCTCTTCCACCTCTCAAACTTGCCCCGTCACTTCCGCTCTCCCTTCCTCTTCCCTCCATCCCACAATCACACAGGCAGACGCCATGCATGGTTCCACGGCCGCACACCCCCAACCGCCCTTCCACCTCTCAAACTTGCATCCCGTGCCCCATCACTTGCATCCGGTGCCCCATCACTTGCATCCCGTGCCCCATCACACAGGCAGATGCCATGCATGGTTTCACAACTGTGCACTCCCCACCTCTCTTCCACCTCTCAAACTTGCCCCCTCACTTCCGCTCTCCCTTCCTCTTCCCTCCATCCCACAATCACACAGGCAGACGCCATGCATGGTTCCACGGCCGCACACCCCCAACCGCCCTTTCGCGTCTCAGATGGTTCCACAGCTATGCACTCCCTAGGCGAAATGCATCCCTTGTCTCATCGCGTTGAGGTGTATTTTGAGGCGCCTCAAAATACACCTCAGTTGGTGCCACAGCTATGCACTCCCTAGGCGAAATGCATCCCTTGTCTCATCGCGTTGAGGTGTATTTTGAGGCGCCTCAAAATACACCTCAGATGGTGCCACAGCTATGCACTCCCTAGGCGAAATGCATCCCTTGTCTCATCACTTCCACTCTCCGTCCTCCCTCCATCCCACAATTACACAGGTAAACGCCATGCATGGTTCCACAGCTGCGCACCCGCAACCTCCCTTCCCACCTCCTAACCAGCTCCCCTGTTTCTCCCACCTCTTTTCCCTCACCCTTCTTCCCTCCATCCCACAATCACACAGGCAGATGCCATGCATGGTTTCACAACTGTGCACTCCCCGCCTCTCTTCCACCTCCCAAACTCATTGCATCCCATATGCCCCATCACTTTGAATCTCCTTTTCTCTTCCTCTCCATCCCACATGCACACATGCAGATACCATACATGGTTTCACGACTTTTGAGGCGCCTAAAAAATTGCGGGATAAGAGACGACTTTCGAGGCGCCTAAAAATTTGTGGGATGAGATAAGCGACAACTTTTGAGGTGCCTAGAAAATTGCGGGATAAGAGACGACTTTTGAGGCGCCTCAAACAAAGTCACACGCGCACAGGCAGATACCATGCATGGTTTTACAGCTGCGCACCACCAGCCTTTCTTGCACCTCCCATCCCAGGCTCATTGTGCCCCTTTCCCGTCTTTCCCTCCTCCCCCACCCCCCCAGGCAGATGCCATGCATGGTTCTACAAAGTACTACCAACAACTACTGGTGTGGAATCCTTGTGAGTGATTTTTGAAAATTCTTAAAAATCACTCACAACAACTACTGGTGTTGAATCCTAAGTTGCTGCCGCGTATCGAACTCAATGGCGCCTAACTGGTGTCCTCTTCCCTTTCCCATCTTTCCTTCCCTCATTCTCCACCCCCCCAGGCAGATGCCATGCATGGTATGGTTTCACGGCTGCGCACCCGCAACCTCCCTTTCAACTCCTAGGCTGATTTCTTCCCTTGCCCCATCACTTTGACTCTCCCTTGCTCCTCCCTCCATACCGCACCCACACAGGCAGATTCCATGCATGGTTTCACTTCTGCGCGCCCCCAACCGCCCTTTCGCGCCCTAGCCAGCTCCCCTGTTTCTCCCACCTCTTTTCCCTCACCCTTCCTCCCTCCATACAGCACCCACACAGGCAGCCATGCATGGTTTCACAGCTGCGCGCCCCCAACCTCCCTTCCACCTCCTAGCCAGCTCCCCTTTTTCTCCCACCTCTTTTCCCTCACCCTTCCTCCCTCCATCCCGCCCTCCCCCAGGCAGACGCCATTCATGGTTTCACGGCTGTGCACTCCCAAGCTCCCTTCCACCTGGTGGCCATCTTTGGCCCTGAGCACGGGTTCAGAGGCACAGCGCAGGTGAGGTGAGGTCGGTCAGGAGCATAGAAAGCTAGCTCTCGGTGCAAGTGCGGCGCTTATAGGCAAGGCAGGTGCGCACGAGTTGTCATTCCTTGCACGTGGTGAGAGGGGTGCAGCTTTTGAGTCGACTCAAAAGCAGGTGCGCACGAGTTGTCATTCCTTGCACGTGGTGAGAGGGGTGCAGCTTTTGAGTCGACTCAAAAGCAGGTGCGCACGAGTTGTCATTCCTTGCACGTGGTGAGAGGGGTGCAGCTTTTGAGTCGACTCAAAAGCAGGTGCGCACGAGTTGTCATTCCTTGCACGTGGTGAGAGGGGTGCAGCTTTTGAGTCGACTCAAAAGCAGGTGCGCACGAGTTGTCATTCCTTGCACGTGGTGAGAGGGGTGCAGCTTTTGAGTCGACTCAAAAGCAGGTGCGCACGAGTTGTCATTCCTTGCACGTGGTGAGAGGGGTGCAGCTTTTGAGTCGACTCAAAAGCAGGTGCGCACGAGTTGTCATTCCTTGCACGTGGTGAGAGGGGTGCAGCTTTTGAGTCGACTCAAAAGCAGGTGCGCACGAGTTGTCATTCCTTGCACGTGGTGAGAGGGGTGCAGCTTTTGAGTCGACTCAAAAGCAGGTGCGCACGAGTTGTCATTCCTTGCACGTGGTGAGAGGGGTGCAGCTTTTGAGTCGACTCAAAAGCAGGTGCGCACGAGTTGTCATTCCTTGCACGTGGTGAGAGGGGTGCAGCTTTTGAGTCGACTCAAAAGCAGGTGCGCACGAGTTGTCATTCCTTGCACGTGGTGAGAGGGGTGCAGCTTTTGAGTCGACTCAAAAGCAGGTGCGCACGAGTTGTCATTCCTTGCACGTGGTGAGAGGGGTGCAGCTTTTGAGTCGACTCAAAAGCAGGTGCGCACGAGTTGTCATTCCTTGCACGTGGTGAGAGGGGTGCAGCTTTTCACTCACAGCCTCCCTTCCACCTGGTGGCCATGTTTGGCCCGAGCACGGATTCAGAGGCACAGCGCAGGTGAGGCACTTGCTGCTGCTACCTTGGTGGAAAGTACTTGTGCACTCTCCTTCTTGCTGCACCACCCCCACCCCCAACCTCCCTTCCACCTGGTGGCCATGTTTGGCCCGAGCACGGATTCAGAGGCACAGCGCAGGTGAGGCACTTGCTGCTGCTACCTTGGTGGAAAGTACTTGTGCACTCTCCTTCTTGCTGCACCACCCCCACCCCCAACCTCCCTTCCACCTGGTGGCCATGTTTGGCCCGAGCACGGATTCAGAGGCACAGCGCAGGTGAGGCACTTGCAAGGCAGGTGGTGTGTGTGTGTGTGGGCACGAGCTGTCGTTCCTTGCACGTCGTTAGAGGGGTGCTCAGCAGCAGCTTCTCAACCCCAACCTCCCTTCCACCTGCTGCCCATGTTTGGCCCCGAGCACGGGTCCCGATGCGGGTGCAGGTGAGTCACTTACCTCTACCCAGGTGGTGCGTGTGTGGGCACTGGTCTGTCCCTTTTAACCCTGGTAGAACTTAGAGGGGTGAAATGCTGCTGTGCGCTCCCCACCTCCCTTCCACCTGCTGCCCATGTTTGGGCCCGAGCACGGGTCCCGAGGCACGGCGCAGGTGAGAGAGTTGCATTGCAAGACAGGTGGTGCGTGGGTGGGCACGAGCTGTCGTTCCTTCCACATCGTAAGACGGGTGCCCAGCAGCAGCTGCGCACCCCCCAACCTCCCTTACACCTCATGGCCGAGTTGGAGCCACAGAGAGAGCATGGGTTCAGATCAGATCAGATCAGATCAGAGGCACAGCGCAGGTGAGACAGCGAGTTTTCCTTCCTTTCGTATCCTCGCAGTCTCAACCAGGGGACCCCAAACCTGCTTTCCCTTTCGTTTCCTTCCTACCTTCAGTGACCCCTCCCAACCTCCCACCCCACCCACCCTTGCAGGCAGGCAAGTCAGAATCCGCCTCTAAAGACCCCAAGACCGGTCTCCCCATATTCGATCTGTACGGCAAGGTGAGGAGCAGGGGAGGCAGGGGGGAGGCAAGGAGAAGGGAGATGGAGGGTGGGGCCTCGGAGGTGAGAATCGGGTGAGAAGAAGGTGGGAAGAAGGTGGGGAGCAGGCAAGTTGGAGTGTGCCTCAAGGGACCCCAAGACCGGTCTCCCCGTATTCGATCTCTACGGCAAGGTGAGGCGCAGGGGAGGCAGAGCAGAGGGTATTGGCAGGTGGGGCTTAAGGGTGGGGGGCAGGTGGGGAGCAGAAGGCGGAGCAGAGGGAAAGCAAGATGAGACACAGAAGGTGGGGAGCAGAGGGTAGGATAGTCCCAGGTGAGGCTGAGGAGAGGGGCAGGTGGAGAGCAGGTGAGGGAGAGGAGAGGGGCAGGTGGAGAGCAGGTGAGGGAGAGGAGAGGGGCAGGTGGAGAGCAGGTGAGGGAGAGGAGAGGGGCAGGTGGAGAGCAGGTGAGGGAGAGGAGAGGGGCAGGTGGAGAGCAGGTGAGGGAGAGGAGAGGGGCAGGTGGAGAGCAGGTGAGGGAGAGGAGAGGGGCAGGTGGAGAGCAGGTGAGGGAGAGGAGAGGGGCAGGTGGGGAGCAGGTGAGGGAGAGGAGAGGGGCAGGTGGGGAGCAGGTGAGGGAGAGGAGAGGGGCAGGTGGGGAGCAGGTGAGCCAGCCAGCCAGCCAGCCAGCCAGCCAGCCAGCCAGCCAGCCAGCCAGCCAGCCAGCCAGCCAGCCAGCCAGCCAGCCAGCCAGCCAGCCAGCCAGCCAGCCAGCCAGCCAGCCAGCCAGCCAGCCAGCCAGCCAGCCAGCCAGCCAGCCAGCCAGCCAGCCAGCCAGCCAGCCAGCCAGCCAGCCAGCCAGCCAGCCAGCCAGCCAGCCAGCCAGCCAGCCAGCCAGCCAGCCAGCCAGCCAGCCAGCCAGCCAGCCAGCCAGCCAGCCAGCCAGCCAGCCAGCCAGCCAGCCAGCCAGCCAGCCAGCCAGCCAGCCAGCCAGCCAGCCAGCCAGCCAGCCAGCCAGCCAGCCAGCCAGCCAGCCAGCCAGCCAGCCAGCCAGCCAGCCAGCCAGCCAGCCAGCCAGCCAGCCAGCCAGCCAACCAGCCAGCCAGCCAGCCAGCCAGCCAGCCAGCCAGCCAGCCAGCCAGCCAGAGTGCCAAGTGCTCTGAAGCCTCTGCCTGATACCATGCTCAACTTTTTTTTTTTTTTTTTTCTAAGCTAGCCTTCCATCTATCATTCCCCCCTTCCGTGCTGCATCCGTTTGTTTTTGCGTCCTGAGAGCCAGGATCCTCCAGGCTCTCACCACGATTCCCTGTTCAGGTTTTGCAATTTGCGAGTCCCTTTTTAGAATTCCCAAAAGAGACCCTGCTCAACAATTCCAATCAGGTTCCTAGCCAGCTCTTCCGACTTTTTAGACGTCTCAAAAGTCAACTCAACAATCAGGTTTTTAGCCAACCCTTCCATGTACCCTCCCCCCCTGTGCTGCTCCCTTTGTATGTCTCAAAGGTCAACTCAACAATTTCAATCAGTTTTTTAGCCAACCCTTCCATGTACCCTCCCCCTCTGTGCTGCTCCCTCTGTATGTCTCAAAGGTCAACTCAACAATTTCAATCAGGTTTTTAGCCAACCCTTCCATGTACCCTCCCCCCCTGTGCTGCTCCCTTTGTATGTCTCAAAGGTCAACTCAACAATTTCAATCAGTTTTTTAGCCAACCCTTCCATGTACCCTCCCCCCCTGTGCTGCTCCCTTTGTATGTCTCAAAGGTCAACTCAACAATTTCAATCAGTTTTTTAGCCAACCCTTCCATGTACCCTCCCCCCCTGTGCTGCTCCCTTTGTATGTCTCAAAGGTCAACTCAACAATTTCAATCAGGTTTTTAGCCAACCCTTCCATGTACCCTCCCCCCCTGTGCTGCTCCCTTTGTATGTCTCAAAGGTCAACTCAACAATTTCAATCAGTTTTTTAGCCAACCCTTCCATGTACCCTCCCCCCCTGTGCTGCTCCCTTTGTATAACGTGTGCGCCAGGATTCCCAATCCATAGCCAAGTGTTTTGAAGCCTCTGGCGCTGATACCATTGTGTTTGACATTCAAGATGTTGGGGTGAGTGCAGTGCGGTCCAGAGGGGGCTGTTGTGAGCACACAAAGAGCAGTTTGAGTGAGCGAGGCTCGCGTACTGGGCTATCCTTGCCGCTGCTTTGTGCGGGCTCGCTTCTACACGTTCATCTGGGCGCTCTATGGCTGCCTCGTCGCAGCTGCTTACGGAAATAGTTTCGACCTGGATCCAACAGGTAACTCGTCCTAATCTTCATTCAAACCTTCCTGCGGGCTCGCTTCTACACGTTCATCTGGGCGCTGTATGGCTGCCTCGTCGCAGCTGCTCTCTCCCCCTCCATCCGTCTCTCCACCCTCCCTTGTAATCTTCTCCTCCCCCCCTCCTTTCTCCAATAATTTCTTCCCAGGCTCGTTTCTACACCTTCATCTGGACGCTCTACGACTGCCTCGTGGCAGCTGCCCTCTGCCCGTCCATTCGCCGCTTCCTCGTACTCGATAGACCCAACCCACTGGGAGGGGTGGTGGTGGACGGACCAATAACAGAGCCTCAACACGCTTCATTTGTTGGCAGGAAGGTGTGTAGTGCTCCCCTACCATGCACCATCCCTCTCTCCTTCTATCACTCGCGTCCTCGTGCTCGATAGACCAAACCCGCTGGGAGGGATGGTGGTGAATGGGCCAGTCACAGAGCCTCAACACGCCTCCTTTGTTGGGAGAAAGGTGCATACTTGCTTCCCTTTTGAGAAGCCCGCATATTGCTGGGGAGATAGGTTGAGTTGCAGCTCTCTTGTGCTCCACACACCCAACCCGCTGGGAGGCGTGCTGGTGGACGGGCCAGTCACGGAGCCCCCCCAACACGCCTCCTTCGTTGGGAGGAAGGTCAGTAGGGCCCCAGTACCATGCTTGTACCATCCCTCTCCCCCTCCATCCGCCACATCCTCATGTTCGACACACCCAACCTGTTGGGAGGCATGGGGGATGGACGGGCCATCCCCTCTCACTGCACCACAGCATGACAGTGCGAGAACTCAGCTCACACCCGCGGTGCCCCCTTCCCCTTCTTCCCCGCCACCTTCCCCCTCTTTCCCACCCTCCCGGGCTTCTTTTTGCTCACCTCCCGCCACCTTCCATCTTCTCCATGCAACACTCACCTCCCGCCACCTTCCATCTTCTCCATGCAACACTCACCTCCCGCCACCTTCCATCTTCTCCATGCAACACTCACCTCCCGCCACCTTCCATCTTCTCCATGCAACACTCACCTCCCGCCACCTTCCATCTTCTCCATGCAACACTCACCTCCCGCCACCTTCCATCTTCTCCATGCAACACTCACCTCCCGCCACCTTCCATCTTCTCCATGCAACACTCACCTCCCGCCACCTTCCATCTTCTCCATGCAACACTCACCTCTCGGCCCATGGGTTGGCCTCTGACTTCTGCCCCCACTTTCCCCTGTCCCCCCTTCATGCTATACCTGAGTGTCACGGCATGAGAGTGAGAAAGCTCTCACTGCTCTTTTCTCGGAGTTACTCCCAGCCACCAGACCTTTGAGTCGACTCAAAAGTCAGCTCTTTTCTCCGAGTTACTCCCACCCACCAGACCTTTGAGTCGACTCAAAAGTCAGCTCTTTTCTCCGAGTTACTCCCAGCCACCAGACCTTTGAGTCGACTCAAAAGTCAGCTCTTTTCTCCGAGTTACTCCCAGCCACCAGACCTTTGAGTCGACTCAAAAGTCAGCTCTTTTCTCCGAGTTACTCCCAGCCACCAGACCTTTGAGTCGACTCAAAAGTCAGCTCTTTTCTCCGAGTTACTCCCAGCCACCAGACCTTTGAGTCGACTCAAAAGTCAGCTCTTTTCTCCGAGTTACTCCCAGCCACCAGACCCTCACCTCTCCCCGCTCTCCAACTCCCACCTCTCTGCTTCTGCCTCTGCCGCTGTCTGCTGTCCCCCTTGTCACCCTCTCCTCTTCCATCTCAGGCCATCCCTCTGCGCCACGGCATGACAGTGGACGAGCTCGCACTCCTCTTCTTCTCCGAGTTCCTCCCACCCTGACCCCCACTTAAACCCTAAACCCAACCATGCTAAACCCTCTCTCTCCCCTGCTCCACCTACAGGCCATCCCTCTACGCCACGGCATGACAGTGGGAGAGCTCTCGCTGCTCTTCCTCTCTGAGTTCCTCCCACCTGATCCCCACCTCGCCAAGCTCAATGGCGGCGGCAGTGCCACCAGCAGCAGCAGCAGCAGCAGCAGCAGCGGCGGCGGCACCACCACCACCAGAAACAGCAGCGGCGGCGGCAGCAGCAGCAGCGGCTCCAGCCAGCCCTTCGCCCCGGCGTTCAAGCTTGAAGTGGTGCAGATGGAAGGCTGGTCTCGCTCCTCCTCCCCCTTCTTCCCTTTCTTCCCCTGCCCTCAACCTCTCCTTTCTCCTGCAGCACTCACCTCTCGTTCCCCTGCCCCCGTCTCAGCTCCTCCCCCTTCCCCCTCTCCCTCCCCTTCACACTCTGCCTCACCGGTAACAGCTTCTTTCAAGCAGCAAAATGTCTCAATAGAAGCACCGTCATCGTCGTCTATAAGTCCACCCGCTACAGTGGCAGCTCTGTTATCATCTGCTACAGTGGCAGGTGCTACAGCTGCAGGTGCTACAGTGCCCACAGCGCTACAGCCGCTGCTGTGGGTCCCACCGTCGCCCAACATGCCCACACCAACCACTGCTCTCGTCTATGCTGGGACTTGCCTCATCGAGGTATGCTCGTCTTTTGGTTGGTGTATGATGGTACACGCTCATGTGTGCAGTGCAAGTGCTACAGTGCCAACAGCGCTACAGCTGCTGCTGTGGGTCCCACCGTCGCCCAACATGCCCACACCCACCCACCACTGCGCTCGTCTACGCTGGCACGTGCCTGATTGAGTTGCTGAGACGTCTCAAAAACTCACCTTTTACTCCCAGCATGCCCGCACCACACCCACCACTGCGCTCGTCTACACTGGCACGTGCCTGATTGAGGTATGGTCATGCGTTGGAGTGTGCTTTGAGACGTCTCAAAACTAGACGTCTCAAAAACCAACATGTGCACACCCACCACTGTGCTCGTCTACGCTGGCACTTGCCTGTTTAAGGTATGGTCATGCGTTGGAGTGTGCGTGTGCTGAGGTGTGCTTGTACTGAGTTGACTTTTGCGTCGACTCAAAAGTCATGCATTGGAGTGTGCGTGTGCTCAGTTGTGCTTGTACAATGTGTGAGTATGAATGAGGTGTGGCAAAGATGCCAGGGGTCCCACCCACCGTCGCCCAACATTCCCGCACCCACCACTGCTCTTGTGTACACTGGGACTTGCGTCATAGGGGTGTGCTTAGATAGAGGTGTTGTGTGCTCAGATGTGTGCTGTGTGAGTATGAGGTGTGGTTTATGTGCTGTGCAGTGTGCACAGGTGTGCTTGTCCTATGTGAGTAAGAGGTGTGGTGAAGAGGCTGTGTGTGGGTCCGAACAAATGCTGCCTGGCATGCCCTGCCCATGCCCACCACTGCTTGTGAGTATGAGTGAGGTGTGGTTGAGACGCTGTCCGGGTCCCACCGTCGCCCAACATGCCCGCACCACACCCACCACTGCTCTCGTCTATGCTGGCGTGTGTCTCAGGAAGGTATGCTTGCTCGCGATTCACGATGTCATGCTTTTGCTGTGCCTCAAGAGTAGTCACGATGGCTCATGAAGTGACTTTTGAGTCGACTCAATAGCCAGCTCGTGTGTCTCACAAAGGTATGCTTGCTCGCGATTCACGATGGCATCGTGCCCGCACCACACCCAGCACAGCGATGGCGTGCTTTTGAGGGGCCTTAAAAGTAGTCACGATGGCGTGCTCATGAAGTGTGGTTTGTCAGGACGAGATGTGCTTGTAATTCATGCAGGTCTGGTCGTGCTGTGTGGGTTGCTCATGCAGTGTGTGTGCTTGTTACGTGTGTTACATACATACACATCCACTTGCTTGATTCTAATGAAGCAAGTGGATATGTAAAATCCCCTGCAAGTGCAATGTGTATGTAACATATGTAGCTGTTCGTAGATTCTTCCCCTGCCCCCTTTCTCCGCTTGAATCAGCTTTTAAGTCGACTCAAAAGCTTGACTCACTAGCCTCAATTGCAGATTCTCCTCGACCATCCCATCCCGTCCCGTCCCGTCCCATCCCATCTCATCCCATCCCATCCCATCCCATCCCATCCCATCCCATCCCATCCCATCCCATCCCATCCCATCCCATCCCATCCCATCCCATCCCATCCCATCCCATCCCATTGTTAGTGTTAGCCTTCAATCTCATACTTTGTACTTTGTATTTTCTATATCCTAGAGTAGTGTAGTTTGCACATTGTGTTTGGTTGGGTGTACACCTACATCCCAACCAAACCCAAATGTAATCTCCAAGCAATCTCCAACCCACCAATTGGAGATTGCCTTGGGATTACCCCCAATCCCTATGGATTGCCCCCGATTCCCTTCCCCATCCATTCCCTCCCCTTCTTGGATGTACTTAAAGAGCTTCAAGCTCATTACTAATGTATCGCTTCTAAGCCTAAGTTATGAGATGGTATCAAAGCCCTTCAAACCACACACGCGGATCGTGATCCTTTTATCTCTGCGGATGTTCGTCCCGCAAACCTCGGCGTAACCGCCTTCAATCTCGTCGCCGTTGATTCTCGACATTCGTGGGCGGAAATTCTTCCGCACCACTTTCCCTTCACTCTCGACGGCATCTACTATCTCACTGGTAAGCGCATCGTCGGCGCTTTAACCTATCGCTCGTTTTCGTCGAGCATCATCGCATAATTCCTTCTCCTCGTCGGGCTGTCGCCCGTCGCCCTGCAGCTTCTCGTCGGGCTGTCGCCCGTCGCCCTGCAGCTTCTCGTCGGGCCGCCGCCCGTCGCCCTGCAGCTTCACCTTCGGGCTGCCGCCCGTCGCTCCGCATCTGCACTCCTACCCCCATCCCCCTCCCTTTCCCGCAGCTGAACAGGTGCAGCAGCGCGGCCGAGCAGCAGCGCAGCCGAGCAGCAGCGTAGCCGCGAAGCCGAGCAGCCGTGTAGCCGCGAAGCCGAGCAGCAGCGCAGCCGAGAAGCTGAGGGTGGTGTGTGGGGGGGTGTGTGGGAATAGGATTAGTAGGTAGTTGACACTAAATTGGCGTTTCAGTCGAATTCTTCTTCAGAAACCCTAAACCTCGAATTCTCTTTCGTAAACCCTAAACCTCCGGTTCTTCAAAATCTCCTTCGGAAACCCCAAACCTCAAGTTCCTATCGTTGACTCAAGAGCGGCACTCCGCGCGACACCCTAAGGGGTCTCCATCGTGGCATTCGCCTCGTCCACCATGGCCAACCCCATCACCCCACTCCGTCTTGACGCCGATGGCTCTAGCTCCAACTTCAAGGCATGGAGCTATGGGGTTGACAAACACCTGCTGAGCCGTGACGTGCAGGGATTGGACCTCAAGGATGTCCTCCTCAACCGTGGCAAGGGAAAACAGCCCCTTCTCCCTCGCGAGCCGACGGAATCCGCTAGTGAGGCTGACACAAAGGCATATGAGGAAGCCGTTGAGAAGTACCGGAAGTGGGAGAAGGCCGATGCTGCAATTATCAGCGTCTTCATCGCCTCCACCCCTCCAGAACTTATCAAGACGTTCCATAACTACCCTACCTCCAACGCCATCTGGAAGAATCTCCAGGATCGGTTTATGAACAAGACTGCAGTCGGAGTTGCCATCCTCATCCCCAGCATGTTCCAGGTCCGCCTTGAAGATTGCTCGGGAATGGCCGACTACATTGCCAAGGTTCAGACCATTCATGGCGAACTCAAGGAGCTGGGCATAGTCTTCCCCGAACAGGCCCCTGCAGCAGCTCTTCTCGTTGGTCTCACCACAACCTATGAAATCACAAGGAAGATGCTCCTCGCGCTGACTGCAGAAGACCTCACTTCTGCAAAGGTCTCCACCGCACTCCTCTCTGCCGAGAAAGACTCCACGGCTCAAGCCAAGGCTTACGCCATCCGTGCTCCCATGCCTCAAGCCAGTGTCGCATCGGCCCTTGCCTCGGCGCCCCTCCAGCGCAACCGCTTCCCACCGTGCACCTACGTCGTCAAGTATGGCAACCGCAAGGGACAAGTGTGTGGTGGCACTAACCACCCCCTTGCTACGTGCTTCAAGAAGAAGGACGACGAATCGTACGCCATCCACGGCATAGACAAGAGGCCACCGAACTGGATGCGTGCGCGCAAGGCCAACCTGGTTGAGGTCCAAGACCCTGCTTCGGCTAGTGCTAGTGATAGTGCTCCTGCTGATGCCCGTATCAACCTGTTGTTCCCTGGCACTGCCATGATTAATGAAGCTTCCTCCCAGTACCTCGGCTCATCACAAGCACCACAATACATAGAGTTCACACTCGACAGCGGGGCCACACACACTGTACTCAAGGAGACACTCTCTTTCAAACCCTACGCAACACCCATCTCTCTCCTAGGAGCTGACTCAAGCTTCACCACTCATGCCAAGGGTTCATCCACAGTCCCGTGCCCCGCCTTCCCTTCCGGCACTGTCACTGGAATGTGCGTGCTTTCACTCCGCCACAATCTCGTGGCCCAAACAGAAATTCAGGAAGCTGGGCTACGCACCATCTTCTGGGAGAACGAGAACTATGGTGATATCCTCGACCCACTCACCAACAAGGTCTTGACTCGTTTCACCCTCAACAGCAGCGGCCTTTACACGCTGCAAGTACCCATCCCACAGGTGTCAACCACCCAAACAGCGGCGAATACCTCACCATGCTTGTGCCGCAGTTTCTCCAACCCGACCATACTCTACCACCATCAGCTTGGGCACCCAAACTTCCGCACACTTGTTGACATGGTCTCCAAGAAACTTCTACTCGGCCTGCCAGCCTCACTTCCTCCACCACCAAACTCCCCCGCTCCCACGTGCCTTGACTGCACCAAGAGCAAATTGCGTCAACAGCCCCACCCGGCCTCACCCTCTGTCGCAGCAGGACCACTGGACCTGGTACACCTGGACGTCTGGGGCCCTGCCCCTGTTCCCGCACGAGGTGGTTATCGCTATTTCCTTGTTATCGTCGATGACCACTCTCGCTACGTCTCTGTTCACCTCCTCCACACTAAGGCTGCGGTTCCAGAGGTCCTCATGGCGTGGGTTAAACAGGCACAGACCGCCTTTGACCGCAAAGTCAAGCGCCTCCACTCAGATGGTGGTGGTGAGTTTTGCAACGACAAGCTCAAAGCCTTCTGCTCTTCAGAAGGCATCCAACAAAACTTCACCCTCCCTGACAGCCCGCAGCAGAACGGCATAGCTGAGAGCCGCAACCACACCCTGGTGCAGATCACTCGGTGCCTCCTCAGCCACTCCAACGCTCCACACTCTCTCTGGGGGTACGCTCTCTACCACGCCGCCCTCCTCTACAACCTTTACCCCCACCCGCATCTTCCCGACACCACTCCAACCACACTCTGGCTCGGGAAAACGTCCACTGCTCGCTCTCTTCGCGTTTGGGGGTGCACCGCCTATGTCCTCCTCAACCCTCAGGCTCGACGGCAGCACGGCGGCAAGCTCGGTCCCAAGACCCAGACATGCATCTACCTCGGACACAACGCCGATTCGCCTGACTACCTCTTCCTCAATCCCTCCACTCAGGAGTTGGTCCGGAGCCGCGACGTTGTCTTTGATGAGACCCGCCCATTCTACTCCACTTCGGGACGGGACCCTCTCCCTGACCCACCCTCCCTCGTGTGGGCAGACGTTGATGCGCCTCCTGACCTCTCGCCTGCTCCGGCCCCTTCACCCCCTACCCCTCCTGCCACCGCACCGTCCCCGCCGACTGTGCAGCCAGCTTCGAGCGCACCTATCACCTACCATCGGCGGTCCCACCCTCCGGCCCCACCTCCTCCCCCGGTTCCCCCCACCACAGAGGAACCCGCTCTCCCACAGTCGCCCGAGCTGATCACGTACCACCGGCGGCCCATTCCCCCGCCCAAGCCTCCTAAGTCAACCCCTCCGACACCGCCTGCCCCACCCTCTTCTTCGGTGGCTCATGGCACTCGTTCGCATGGCGCGGCTCTTCCACTAGCACTGGTTCTTCGATACACGGCGATCACACCGCCTCCTCCTACTGGGGGGGATGTGCCCTCTACCCTTCTGGAAGACAGGCATGAGGAGCTGTGTGATCTTCATGCAATCATTCCTCAGCTCTCGCACATCTTCCCCGACATCACTGCCTCACCCTCCCTCAACTTCGCGGAGAACCCGACCATCCCTATCCCTCTCACCGTCCAAGAGGCTCTCTCAGGCCCTCATGCTGCCGAATGGCGTGCTGCCATGGAAGCGGAGATTGCAGCATTCACCCGCAACCACTCCTTCGACGACGAGACACCACCTCCAGGAGTCAACATCGTCGGGGGCAAGTGGTTGTTCCGTGTAAAACAGCTCCCAGACGAGGCCCCGGTGTTCAAAGCGCGTTACGTAGCCAAGTGCTTCACCCAGCAGCAGTACCGCGACTTCTTCCTAACCTTCTCCCCCACATCCAAACCTCCCACCATTCGTACGCTCATGGATGTCGCAGCTCGAGAAAACTTTGAGATCAAATCCATGGATGCGTCATCCGCCTTCCTACAAGGACGTCTCAAGGAGACGGTGTTCATGGACAGACCAGAAGGCTTCCCAGGAGAATTCCCTCCCAACACTGTCTGGAAGCTGAATCGCCCCGTCTACGGCCTTAAGCAAGCCCCTCGCGAATGGCACAACAAGGTGAAAGAAGTCCTCCTCTCCCTGGACTTCCATCCTTCAACTGCTGACCCGACTCTCTTCATCCGCCGTCATTCTGAGCCATTCTACATCCTGGTCTACGTGGATGATTTCATCCTCGTTGCCAAGGACTCGGCCTAGATGACCTCTGTCCAGGCAGCACTGAGCAAGGCTCTCCAGATGAAAGACCTCGGTGACCTCAAGCACTACCTGGGGATGGAGATCACTCGTGATCGTCAGGCTTGCACCATTTCACTCTCCCAGGAGTTCTACATCGACAATGTGCTCAAGCGGTTTGAGATGGAGCTGTGCACAACTGTTGCCACCCCGCTGCCGCTGCAACACCTCCTCACTGCTCCAGCTGTACCCACACCAGAGGCCTGCTCTGAGCCATACCCGGAGCTTGTTGGGTCCCTCATGTACGCCATGATGTGCACCCGACCGGACTTGGCCTATCCTGTCAGTGTCCTCTCTCGCTACGTGGCCCCTGGACGCTTCACTGATCTTCACTGGAAGGCGGCGAAGCGGGTGCTGCGCTATCTTCAGGGCACCAAGTCTCACGTTCTCACACTCGGTGGGCTCTCCTCTCCTCGCCTGGAAGGTTACACCGACTCCTCCTGGGCTGATGACCAGACCGACCGACGCTCCTCTCAGGGGTACTGCTTCACCCTTGGGAGCGGAATTGTCAGTTGGCGCTCCACCAGGTCGTCTGCAGTCTCCCTCTCCTCCTGTGAGGCAGAGCTCTACGCAGGCACCATGGCTGCTCAGGAGGCCCGTTGGCTCACCTTCCTACTCCAGGAGCTTGGTTTCCCACAGTCCGCCCCTACCCTCTGGTGTGACAACCAGAGTACCATCCACATCTCTCAAGACCCTGTGTATCACACCCGCACCAAGCATATTGAACTTCGGCACTTCTTCATCCGTGACCTTGTCCAACAGGAGCAGCTGAAAGTGGAATACGTTGCATCTGACTGCAACCTGGCTGATCTGTTCACCAAGACCCTTGGGAAAGTTCCCCACCACCGTCTCCTAGGCGCCATGGGGCTCTGTGCACCACCCTCTCTACCATGAGTTCGATTGACGCCTATGGGGGGGTGTTAGTGTTAGCCTTTAATCTCATACTTTGTACTTTGTATTTTCTATATCCTAGAGTAGTGTAGTTTGCACATTGTGTTTGGTTGGGTGTACACCTACATCCCAACCAAACCCAAATGTAATCTCCAAGCAATCTCCAACCCACCAATTGGAGATTGCCTTGGGATTACCCCCAATCCCTATGGATTGCCCCCGACTCCCTTCCCCATCCATTCCCTCCCCTTCTTGGATGTACTTAAAGAGCTTCAAGCTCATTACTAATGTATCGGTTCTAAGCCTAAGTTATGAGACCCATCCCATCCCATCCTATCCCATCCCATCCCATCCCATCCCATCCCATCCCGTCCCATCCCATCCCATCCCATCCCATCCCATCGCCTTGCATGCATTCTTTCTTGCACGAGCCCTTGTGACACTCTCAAATATCACACCTATCTTTCAGTGATTTCAACTGTGAGGCCCTGATAAATATTGATTCAAAAATCCCTCCCAACACCCTTTCCTAACTTCTTGCTCGCCAGGGGACCAACCTGAGTGAAGGCCGCGGCACAACTCTGCCCTTCCAGCTGGTAGGCAATCACAAAAGCATGTGGTCGTGGTATTTTTGAAAAGTTGCCTCAAAAGTGGTGAGCAATCACATAAGCATGTGGTCGTGGTATGAATGAAGTGGGCAGCACGCGGAATGGGTGCAGTGACAGGCTGACAGCTCAACCCTGCCTGAAACTTGAGTCGGTTAAAATTTTCGGCACAACTTTGCCCTTCCAGCTGGTAGGCAATCACATAAGCATGTGACTGACTCTTGAGGCGCCTCACAGGCGATCACCACATAGGCATTCGGTGGAACAGAATGGATTGCAATGGGCAGCACAGCACGCTGGGATGGAATGGAAGTGTACAGTGACGGGGCAACTCTGCTTTTGAGTCGATTCAAAAGCAGACTCAAAAGTCGACTCACAAGCAGACTCAAAAGTCCACTCAAAAGCACAGAACGGATTGCGATGGGCAGCGCAACACGCTGGGATGGAATGGAAGTGTGATGCGACGGGGCAACTCTGCTACAGTGCCCGCATGGACATGCGGTGGAACTGAAAGCGGATTGCAATGGGCAGCACAGCACACTGGGATGGAATGGAAGTGTGCAGCGACGGGGCAACTCTGCTACAGTGCCCGCATGGGCATGTGGTGGAACTGAAAGCGGATTGCAATGGGCAGCGCAGCACGCTGGGATGGAATGTAAGTGTGCAGCGACGGGGCAACTCTGCCCTTCCAGCTGGTAGGCAATCACATAAGCATGTGACCTTTGAGGCGCCTTAAAAGCGATCACCACATAGGCATGCGGTGGAACAGAACGCGGATTGCAATTGGCAGCACAATGTGATGTAATGGAAGTGTACAGCGACGGGGCAACGTGTAGAGAGGGTGTTGTTGAGACATCTCAAACACCCTCTCTACAGAATGGACTGCAATGGGCAGCACTGCACAATGTGATGGAATGGAATGGGTGCAGTGATGGAATGGAATGTGACGGCTCATCAACCCTGTCCTTCCAGTTGACGCGAACTGATGTTTGAAAATCGTTGAGATGTCTCAAAAGTCCTCGGAAAGACATCTCAACCCTGTCCTTGCCATGTGTTCCCATTACTGATCAGTCTTTAAAAAAGCTTCTCCTCCCTGCCTTCCACCCAGATCGCAGCACCCTTCCCTTCATTTCCCCTCTTCTTCCCCCTCCCTTCTCATCCCACCTCACTCTGTCCTTCGTTTTCTGCACTCCTCCCCCTTGCCTTCCACCCAGATCGGAGCTCCATTTATGGACCATAGATTTGCCCAGGCAGTGCGAGATCAACGGTGCCCAGGGTGTGCCATCAGGGAGGCCTACTTCTCTCCTGTTGCCGGCAAATTTTCTGGGAAACAAGTGTGCGGTATCGAGGTGAGCTGCTCTCTCAAAACAGATTTGCAGCAGTACGAGTACAACAAGTTGAAATCGGTTGGTTTCGATCCACAGCAGCAATCAAGTACGAGTGCGACAACGGACATCTGTCGTCGCCATACTTTACCCTACCCGTCGCACCACTCACCACCCCCCATTCTTTAGCCTTCTTTACCTTCTCTCATGGCACCCCTCATTCCCACTCCCCTCCCCATGTCCAGCCCTCTCTTCCCCGTTGCTCCCTTTTTCCCAACTCCCCTTCCCCGGATCCACGTCACCGACTCTTATCCTTTGACCCTCTCTATCTCGCCCCCTCTACCCCTCCCACTTCTACTGGCGCAACAACAGCCCCACCAACGCTCTCTTTCTCTCTTGTCCTTTCCTCCCACTTTCCCCAATCCCTCTCCCCTGATCCACGTCACCGACCCGGCCTCCTTCGATCCTCTCCATCACGCCGTCATCCTTCTCGCCACCACTCGCTCCCTCTACCCCTCCCACTTCCACTGGCGCAACGACAGCCCCACCAACTCTTCCATTCCTCCCATTTTCCCCACCCCCCTTCGTCAGATCCACGTCACTAACCCAGCCTCTTTCGATCCTCTACGTCTCGCCCTTATCCTCCTCACCACCGCTCGCTCCCTCTACCCCTCCCACTTTTCTCTCTTGTCCTTTGTTCTCACTGCCCCCACTCCCCTCTCCTCAGATCCATGTCACTGACCCGGCTGCCTTCGATCCTCTTGGTCTCGCCCGCATCCTCCTCACCACCGCTCGCCCCCTCTACCCCTCCCACTTCCACTGGGGCAACAACAGCCCCACCAACTCGGTTTCACTCTCCCATTTTTTCATGCGGTATCCTCTTCCCACTACACTCCCCTCCCCAGATTCATGTCACAGAACCTTCTGCGTTCGATCCTCTCCGTCTCGCTCTCATCCTCCTCTCTTCTGCTCGCGCCCTCTACCCCTCCCACTTCCACTGGCGCAACGACAGCCCCACCACCTCTCCCAACGGCCCCTTTTGGATTGATAAGCTTGCAGGGAGCGATAGTCTGAGGAAGGGTGTAGATGCGGGTAGGAGTGTAGACGAGATCAAAGCGGGGTGGCAACCGCAGCTCATGTGGTTCTCAACCATTCGTGCGCAGTACTTGCTGTACACTGACTGATAGGGTAGTGATATATGAATGGGAAGCTTATGAATTTGAGTCATTACATTACCTCCACACCTCACCACCTCTCGCTCCCTCTACCCCTCCCACTTCCACTGGCGCAACAATAGCCCCACCAACTCTCCCAGTGGCCCCTTTTGGATCAACAAGCTTGCTGGTAGTGACAGTTTGAGAAAGGGTGTAGATGCGGGTAGGAAGGAGTGTAGATGAGATTAAAGCGGGGTGGCAACCGCAGCTCATGTGGTTCTCGAGTCTCGACCATTAGAGCACAGTATCTACTGTACTCTGACTAATGTTTGGTGCAGTATGGAAAATCTCTATTTAATCCAGCCATTGTTAAGTTTGCACACCTGCAACAAGACAACCCCCTCAAGATACAATCCTGCACTCTTCCTTCCTTCCCTGCCCTTCTTGCATGGCTGCAGTAGAATGTTCCTGAAGAAACTATTACTGTAACTCCTGCAGCTTCTCTCTCAGTGCTCGCAGTGCCTCCCTTCGGTAAAATGAAAGGATCCGTTTGGAGATGTTTCTCGATACGAAATCAATGGGTCTACAGTGCTCCTACTAACCCTAAACCCGAAACCTGAAGTGTGTTCTAGAGAGTTTCTCAATATACAGCATCACTGTGGAAGGCTGAGCTCCACCATCCGGTCGCCCAGGAACTCCCGGTGCTTCTCTCTTAGTGCTCGCAGTGCCTCCAACTGGTTTGCGAATCGCACCACGGCACAGCGCTCCACTAGGTGATTTCTAAGTCGACTAAAAGAACCCGCTAACTGGCTGTGAGTTCTGTATTGAGAAAAATCATCACTGTAGAAGGCTGAGCTCCACCATTCGGTCCCCCACGAACTCCCTATGCTTCTCCCTCAACGCTCTCAGCGCTTCCATCTGGTTGGCGAATCGCACGACGGCACGGCGCTCCACGAGGTCCACTATCGGCCGCGTCTCGCCCTTCATGC